ACTTGGCTAGGTGAGCTTGTTTCTGTGGGTGCGCCTATTGTCATGCTGTATATGCTGACTTGTGCCGCATTGCAATGTAAGTTTTTAGTCAAAGAACTCTACTTTTGAACAAATTGACAAACCATGTATCAGGAAAATCTAAACGACTGGAGCCAGAAAAGGCTTGCTGTATTGTTCTGGGGGTTAGTTGAAAGCCCATTATGGATGGGGTTCAACAGCAATGAAAACATTTGACAGGTCACAGAATATTATGTAACACAGGTGACATGCTGAGACCCTAATGAAAAGGACATACATGAACAAATCACTATATTTTGCAGTTATTTCACTGACTTCAGAAAACATTGCATAGTGGGTGGGAGTTAACACATTGGACAGTGTCTGCAATCACACAATCACACAGTGTCTGCTAGCTAGGCTATTTCTGCGAGTTGATAGACAGCAACTGGTGCACTGCCAAAAATGTTGAGGGTAGAACCTGCCTCCCAGCGAGTACTTCTGACAGTAATTGTTAGGATCATAGGGCATTCCATACCTAGGAAGTTTCATTCTGAGCCAAGCTTTGCATACCAAACAGTTCAGGACAAGGACATGTACGCTACACCCCTAATCATTAGTGCTTTCCTTCCCTGTCAACATTGTGCCAGAGAGAGAGGCAAACAGGCTAACTAAACAGTAAAAGGTTTAGACAAAGTGTATTTTATCCACTGAAGGCTTCGAAGATTAGCAGTCAGTCTGTGTTCTGATTTGTTTTTATACTCTGTTTGAAGAACGGTTACCTGCAATGTCTTGTTTGTTAGGGTAATTGCTTTTAGCTAAACGCAATAGGTTGTGTCAGGATTTGTATTAGGAACAAATGGAAAAAATACAGTGAGGGTTGAATGGGCATGCCGGCTAATTACTTAAAATAGCATTATTGCCAATGGTACTTTGGAACAGTTAGTAGTTACACTGCTGAATCTGAAGAACTGGGTACACTTGAAAGAACTTAATTTATACGTGTCGTCCAGCCATGTCTGTATGCAACAGTGGTTAGAGCTATTCTGACGACCACACTCTAAGGCGACATTTAAAGCCCACCATCACAGAGATTACGATTACAGTTTGACTACCTGCTTAGTGTGAGAATTGGTTGTGTGGTGTACATCAGGTACTAGTTTAGAGGAAATAGTTGTAAATGGTCAGCGATGGGATTAGGTGTGGTTATGTTTAGCGTGATTGTGACCTGTGTGCTAATGCATCCTGTTTGAGAATCAGAATCAGAACCAGCTTTAATGGCCAAGTACGTACGCAACATACAAAGAATTTGGTTTTGGCTGTTGGTGTAGCCCTAGGAATTTGCAGGAATAATAGAAATAGGAAAATTTTTAAAATAAAATATAATAAAGTAAAATAACTACAGGAAGAAAAGACTAAAATAAAATACAATAAATATTAATACAAAATAAAACAAGATAATAAGACAAATATATACAAGAATTTACACATCTGAGCAGAAAAGGTAAATGTGCATTGTGCAGAATAGAAGTGCAAATAACAGTTGTGGCTTGGAATGGCTCAGCTGTTCAGCAGAGTTATGGCAGTGGGATAAAAACTGTTTTTATGTCTGGTGGTTTTAGTCTGCAGGACTCCGTATCGCCTGCCGGAGGGGAGGAGGGAGAACAGTTTATGACTGCATCAGTAATGACTGTAAACATCTCAAATATTATTAAAGCACATGAATTCTTTCAGAATATGTAATTTTATGTAAAAGCAGTTCAAAATGCAGTTCTTTAAAGTAACACTAAAAGTAAACTTCCAGTAGAGACCTCACAAAGACTACTGAAGAGGATCACATCAGTCCAGCTCTCATTAGCATCCTGTTTGTCAAAGAACTGACTTTAACTTTTCAGTGCTAGTTTATTATGCATTAAATGTTGTAGGATTGTCCAAACCTGCCATGCAGTCTGGAAAAAGTCTGCTTACTGTCCCCAGATACCAAACTAAATCTGGAGAGGCAGCCTTCAGTTTTTAAACACCATGTACTCAAGGTGTGTGTTGGATCCGTGTAAAGCATTTTGAATTGCCTTTTTGTTGAAAGATAAACTTGCTATCCTCACGGTAGCGTCTTGTTAAAATTAGTCCAGTAAAAACCTTTATGCTTTGAAATGTCAATTGTCAATTAAAATCACAGTATAAAGGTGCAGAAAATGTGTGTCTTGGTAAAACCTGTTTGCACTCAGGCATGTAATCACGTATGTGTGTATAGCTTTAAGAGGAGCACACAATGAAAACAGGCCACTGCGCCTCAGCAGCCACTGGGACCTCAGCAGTGTAGACTGACGCTGAGAGACATAGAGACGGGGTGGGAGGGAGATAATGAACGAGGGCAGTCGAGCTCTGGCTGCCTCCCCGTGGCAGCAAATGGCAGCAAAGCATGCTGGGAGGACGCACAAACCCCTGCAGTGCGGGGAGAGGAAACCCCACTCATTGTTGCTGTCGGATGAAAACATTACATCTTTAAGGAAGTCCACTTTGTTTCCCGCGTGACCATAGCGCAGATTAATGTTTTGAAATTGGTTTTGGAAAGTGATCCATGAATTCACTTGTCCCTTTTTGCTGTAAACCCACTTAGTTGATACGTGTAAATTGTATTGTCCTGGCGTTAGGAGGTTTTCACACAGTCTCATTGTAAGCTCAACAGACAGAATCAGGAACAATAGAGCTGTCTCTGTTTCTGTCTGAGCACAACACCGCTGCTGCTGCTTTTCTCTGATTCTTTACAGATTTAACTCGGTGTGATGAGTGTTGTTGTTTATTTATAAACAGTGACTGCTAAATGGACATTTAACACAGTAAGAAAAGAAGCAGACTATGCAGTCGTATTAAATATCCAAAAATGGAAGACTTACAAAGAAGAGAAATAACAGAATGAGAATTGTTTAATTTTTCATTTTAATGCATAGTCAGTTAGGTATCTATGCAGTAATCAATTATTGATTTCTATTTGATGTAATATGACGGTGTATGTAAGTATCTCAACACAGACAAATACTGCATCCCAGTTAATTTTTTGTCAACCTCATTGCCAAGATAAAGAGAAACTGAGTAGTCTGCATCTATTGCTAACAAATCCCATTTGTTAGGACAGTTCCTTTGAAAGTAATTCTTTTCACTGATGTGTGATTTGCCGTAACTTTAAATTCACATAAACTTTTAGGAGTGGAACTGTACAGTGCCTGCTGCTAACTGGTTGTGCAAAGTGGATCAATCTGTCAGGAGTTATAGTCTAGTGTTAGTCGATTGAGATTTGTTTTGTTAAGTCCATCACAGCAGAAATCACAAATTTCAAGCATTATTGAATCTTGTTGTCTCTGAGGAGCAGATTGGGGGTGGCCTTTGTTAGGATTCAGGAGAATGTCAGACATAGTGGAATGAGAAAAAAGTGATTTCTGTGACAAGAAATGTGTGCATGTGCATCTTTGAGCAGGAGTGTGTGGTTCTGTGAACCAGCATGTAAGCTACATGTACGAAGTTTGAATTATTAAAGATGCACTTTACGTACAACAGTCAGGGTTAATAGTTTGCATGCACAAGCATTAAAAATATATAAACAATATTCACTGACATCCAACTTAGTCACCTTAGAGTTACTGAAATTGATTGCTATACAGCAGCCCGACAACAAATCCTAGGTTTTTGAAGCTTACAGTTTAAGCTTGGAATGCTTGATGTATATGCTGCACATGAGACAGCTCTGACACAGTGTTAGGGTTCAACATCTTACTACTCTAAATCCCAGCTTACAGTCAAAAACATGGAAACAACTAAAAAAAAAAAGAAAAGAAAATGCAAATTCCATTTGCATTGCACCCATAGTCAAAGTAGGACGTATCAAAAAATGTGACAAGTCTCGTTTCTAGTTGAGGAAAAATATTTTATACATAAAATATGTTTTTCTTTAATGACAGTTTGTTGTAAATGGTTTGTTGTAGCTGCTTTTATTTTGTGTGTTCTAGTGCGTGTTCCCATTAAAGTTGATGGAGCGCTAAGGCCTGAACTGTCCCTGAGGCATCAGCCCATGTGATTTCTCCACCACCACTTACACGAGGCATTTTTAAATACCCCCATTTTTCCCTACGCAAGGAGTGGCAGTTTGAGAGTGCCAGCCCATTCCAGCATTACATAACTGCCGTGTAGAGAGGCTATCACTTCTGCATGCACAACTTCTCATAGAACATGCATACAAACATGAAATGGGCATCTACAGAAATGTTCCTTCCTTAGTTATTCTGGGCTGCAGATGCCAGAGGAGATTTATGGCATATACTCATGCTTTATTGGGCCAGGGTATTGTAGAGAGTAGGGTTTTTTTTTCCCTCCTGAAGCCTCTTAAGTTTTAAAGGCTCATGCCAACCTTTTTTTTCCCTCTTCAAGCAACCAGTAGTAATAGTTTTGCATGATATTTAGTGCCTTAAAATGACAGTGAATCCTCATCATGAATTTAGCATACTTGCCTCAACTGCAAAGTGAACCAGATATATTTTTTATACAGTTTTAGGGCGCCTTGGCATCAATTCTCTGTGTCTGAGACAATTGTCCAAAGTCTCTTATAAGTGTTTAACTGGGTTCAGATTTGGTGACTGCAAAGCAATAGGATATGATTCACAACATTTTTATGCTCAACAAACCATTTAGTGTACTTTTGTGCACTACGGATGGGGGCATTGTAATCCTGGAAAAGACCACTCCCATCCCAAACAATACTTGCAGAATAACTTCTGCAGCGTAACAGAACCAACAGATCCACCCACTGCAAGAGTGAAAGAGTTCATGTTTTTCCTTTAAGTTATCACCAGTCCGTAGTTCTACCTATTTTTGAGGAGCAAAATAAAGGGTCAAAACATGTAGTGGACGTTCAAGACAAACCATTATATTACAACCGAATATCATAATATTTTACTGTAGGCCAGTGTGAGCAAACCAACACCAGTCTAACCCCTTCTTCCACCTCTTTGCAGTTAAGGATCTGATCCACTGGCGAGACCCCAAGAAGTCGGGCTTGGTATTCGGCTTGTCCATGCTACTGCTGCTGTCGCTGGCAGCCTTCAGCGTCATCAGTGTGGCCTCCTACCTGCTGCTGGCCCTGCTCTGTGTCACCATCACCTTCCGCATCTACAAGTCTGTCGTCCAGGCCGTGCAGAAATCTAACGAGGGGCACCCTTTCAAGTAAGATCAGCTCCCGTGTTTTCTGTCTGGGATTATGCTACTTTGACCTTTTTGTATGTATTGTTGACAGGTTTGAATCCTGGGTCAGCCAAGGCCAGTCAAAATGTTTTTAGTTTGATTCTCACAGTTGCAAAGTATTAAGTGTTTCATGGTTTTCATTGTCTTTGACACTGCACCTTGGGGGCTAAATCAATCCAAGTACTTGAAGCAAAAAAAACAAACAAACTGATCAGTATATTCCATATTGTGTTCTAAGGTTTTGAAGCCAACTTACAATACTGCAAAGATCTTAATATTCCTCATATAAACAATTAAACTACAGCCAGTTCTGAAGACGAAATTTTCAGAATGTTAGAGGTCAGGCAAGGCATTGCCTGACATAACCTCTGCCTCTTCTGCTTTTATTTATAGAACAACTTTTACAGTTGTGTCAGAGCTTGGGGGGGGAGGCTTCATAAGGTTTCAGCCACTGCTCCTCTTCATAGCTGCCAGACTTGATTCTCTTCATAGCTCATTTTAGCCCCTAAACTAAATATTTCAAAACGAAGACAGTGAAAATTGATGTATTGGTGTAAAAATAGCGCAACCCTGCAGTGGAATTACTCTGACATATGGGCACCAAGGTTTTTTTGTCTTTTTTTTTATTTTTTTGGATTCACCCCCTACTATTAAATACTTTTCAATTATCACATCAACTGTTAATTTCATTATCGATTCAAAAAAGCAAGTAGAGGTGACTGTTTCCTCCATTAACGGTTTTGTTTATAATATATTTAAAAATTCCTATCTGAAGCGTCCTGAGCCTAAAGCAATGTCGTCAAATTACTTGTTTTCTCCAAAGGATTTATTGCACAACAGCAATCAATTTACTTTAATATATAGCGAAAATCCTAAACTATAGGAAGCAAAAACAATGTAAACCAGAAATTTGTGCTTGACAGCTGATTTAAAACACTAGTTTATTAAAATGATATCAGTTGTTTCTAAAGCATAATGCCGTTGCCAAAGGCTGTCAACCATAGTTTATATTCACTAATTATTTTAAGTCACTTCTATTTGCTTTTTTTGAGTTGCTGTTATCAGTGAAACTAAACACTTCCTGAGTGAATTTCACATTTAAATCAAGAATTGGTGGAACTTTCCTCTTTGAGCTGCTAAGAGATTTTTAATTAGAATTAATCTGTTCAGGAAGTGTTAACAATTTTTAAGATCATAGTGATCAAGAAAACGGTACAGTAAAGACTAGAAATAATTACTGAATATAAAATGTGTTTATGTTGGTATAATGTGACTACTGTACATACAGAATTAGAAATAAGCATTTTTAGTTTTAGTTTTTAGAAAGGTAGAAGGTTTTATGTTTGTGCAATGTCAACAGCATTTTTTTTTCTAAATGATCTTTTGCTAACATGTATTTACACAACAGGGGTGATTCAAAATATAAGCCTGTAGTAGAGGTAGGTTTTGACAGTTTTAACTAGTTGTACTCAACCTGGTGAAAAATATCAAATTCTTCAACTTCAACTGTTTGATTTCCAAAACATCATGCCAGACTTCCTAAAAGTGTGTACTGAAAAGTGAGTTTTGATAACAAGAAACTTATAGACTTGCTAAAGTAGAGATTGAGCCATAAGCCTCCCACAGATTATTATACCATAACCACAGCCTGGCTATGTAGGATCTTTATGTAGCATTTCTGCCTGGACACTTAGCCTCATTTTATGCTCACCTTCCTCTCCTCCCTCTCTCCACAGAGCGCTGATAGATAAGGATGTCAGCATCCCTCCAGAGACTTTCCGCAAGCACGTGGACGCCAGTCTGACCTACATCAACCGAGCCCTGAAGCAAATGAGCCGCCTCTTCTTGGTTGAGGACCTTGTGGACTCCCTAAAGGTGAGCAGCCCAACCCTTAGTCACTGTCCAGTGTCATGCTGAGTTTTGATCGTTTACACTGCTTATTATAGAGTACTAGTCCCACTGTTCCAATAAAGGCTCATCTCTAGGGTGCAGCCTTTTTATAGCTTTGATTGGTGCAGTTGTAGCTCAATACAAGGTCATTTTATACTCTGAATCAGATTGGCATGCTTAAAATAACCCCAAGTAGTTATGATTATGTTACTGGATGACAGTTATATAGAGATTATGACCCAAACAGCTGCTTGGAAATTGACAACTACTGATTAAACGTACAGTTTACACTGTTCATCCTGCTGTGATAACATTTATACACATCTGTCTATCTGTCTGTCTGTAATTTTAAAGTCTGACCAACCAATCATCTGGTTTAAAAAAAAAAAAAAAAATCTGATCAGGAAATTTGATGCTATTATCCAGCTGGTGGAAAACTGGATGACCATGTAACAGTATGTTTGGGAAAAAGCATCAGTGTGCAAGGCATTTTACAGTTGCACCAAAGTGTATGTAGATTAATTTGAAGGAGGTACTATTGTCTGACTTAGTCAGTTTTCCTGTGCTTACCAATTTTTAGAAGTTTTCAGCAGTGCTGTTCATTGTTAGCAGCCAAACAGATGTGGTGACATCACAGAAGGATGAAACAAAAGCAGTAACAGTATCAAAGCCCTCTCTTCTGTCGTCACTCCCACAACTGCTTACTTGATTCAACTAAAAAATGAGGACAGTCCCACTGTGGCCTTTTGTAATGATATGTTTGTCCCGGTTTGTAAAATATACTGGAAACACACAGAAGAACTTCGTATCAAAGCCTCCCAATTTTTTAATTTTTTATTTTTTTTAAGGTTCAGGTTAGAGGTTGTTTGTTGACCTATCCTTTAAAAGTCTTTTACACCCAAACAGATTATTCCATCTTATTGTACCTTTGCTAAGATTGTGAAGGTGGGACTTCCTTGGTCTCACTAAAGTCGATAAGTATTGCATTACTATTAAATCAGTTAACTTGTGTAGATAATGATAGAACATATCTTAACACAAGGTGTAAATAAACATAGAATGTGATCAGATTAGCCGGACCACATTTAGACTCCTGTTGTGAGCAGACTTAGCAACCACACTCAAGAAGAAACATCATAAAAACAACACAAGCTTAACTCATTTGATCACCAATGATGGATCAGATTACATGCTTGAGAGAAATATTGTGAGCATATTTTACAAGTGTAAATGGAAACACAAACGGATGTCCTTATCTCGATAAAATATCCAGACACATGTCACATATCAGGTCTCAGTTGGACCTGTGCCTGAATGAGTCAGGTGAAAGTGTAAATCATTAGTCCCTAACAGGTACAACAGAACTAACAGGTGAGATGAGGTACTGATAGTGGAACCCAGTCTGTCCACACCCAGAACACTGAGACAGGTCTGACCAGGATACATAGTGGAAAGCAGTTTGTGTTTCACAAAAAGAGCTCAAAAGGTGTGTGCAGTAGTGGAAAGGTGTGGCCTGTAACATAAATGATTAAGTAGTTCTGAACTCCTCTCAACCTGTACTGTGTTGGATCAGAAAAAAATAACACTGAGTGTCTAAAAACTGATGTTTCAAACATGAATGGTTTATCGTAGCAAATGTAAATGGCTACATGTTTTTAAAGTTACGACATGGTTTATTCAGCACCCTGGTTAGGTGTGGCAAGAAAGACGTTCTGCGAACATTTCATGTACAGCAACCCTTTTCTCTGCAGCTGTTGTGTCAATTTTTAATGGTGATCAAGACCTTTCCGTATTCCCACCTTTGGAAGAACCAGGCTTTATTTCATGGAGGCGTAGGGAAAGACCTTGAATTTTCTTATGTTTGTTTGTTTTGTACATTTCCACAGGATAAATTTATATGATGTTGTTTTTGTTTTTTTAATGAGAGTGACTGTTCTATGAAGCGGTTTCATTTTGACAGTATATTTATATTGACTGTATATTGCCTTAGGTGTCAGTTAAAACTGTGTGTACGTAAATTGTTGCATATTGTCATATGAACTGCGAAAAGTTTCTGATCTAAGTTGGCCTGTGTGGTTCTTTGTCTCTCTAGCTGGCTGTGGTCATGTGGCTGTTGACTTACGTAGGAGCTGTCTTCAATGGAATCACCATTCTCATCTTGGGTAAGCACTGTGGGAATCAAGAAACATGTCACATTCTTTAACTTTCAGAAAGGGTCCATGATTTTTTTTTTGCCCACTGAAATGCTCACAGTGCAAATCAACAAATTCAGACATCTAGCCACTTCTTTCTTGCCACAACTTCTAACAGAAATAATGAAAACATTGCTGCAAAATCAGTCAGCTCCTGATATTTGTGTTGATTTGCCTTGCTTAGGCCTTTTAGAGCACGTTTAGCACGTTTAGATTAGAGTTATCATTTTCTAACAAAGATCCCGATGATGGCATGCTGATAAAGAAGATCAGCATCTTAAAGTTGCAGACAGTAGTCTGTGGGAGGTCATAACAGCCCTCGAGTGTTGTATGGAGGCCATTGTGCTCATTTAGTTTGATGATGTGCAGTGGGTTGACAAGATGGCTCAAAGGTTATAAGGCTAGATGAGGACTGGTGACCGGCTAACCACACTGTACTGTCCCATGGTGGATAGCTCGCATTAGGAAAGCTCTGTGTGGTTGTTTGACTTCATTTGAAAAGCTTTTAGATGAAGTCAAAACGACAGTGCTGTGTCTTGTTCCATTTGAATCTCAGTCTTTAGGTTGAGTAGCTGCTCAGACACTATGGAAATGTATCACGTGAGATTTTGACAGACACTTTTTATTGACTAATAAGCAACCACAACAACATTAACAGCTTCACATTAAAAATTAACTTTTTACAAATGTAACTAAAGAACAGTTCTGCACACAATTTAGCATTTTAAGGGCACAGCAAAGACTGTATCCCATCTATCTCCTACATCCAGATTATGGCAGCTAAGAGGACTGTGTGTGAAGAGATTTTAGTGAAAAGAGAAATAAGATGTTGATCACCTCTGTGGTCATTTCAGTGACTGTAGTTGGTGGTAATATTGTATTATGAGGTGATTCTAATAGTTTGCTCTGCTACAAATAATTGGAAGTGGAACGAATATTAAAAATCCCTTTCAGTCAATTAAATGTACATGCTTCGAACTGCAGAGGACAGATTTGTGAATTTGTTTTTGGCTGATGGGGATTTTGTTGCTTCTATTACACAGGTAGTAGCAAAATGGAGCACCTGTATCTTTCAAAGATGATAGCACTGTTGAGCTGCAAGCAAAAGGAAAGAGTAGGCTGAGACAAAGAGATATGCATGCCCAGCTTTGGCTCATTTTACATAAAAGACACATGGATGTCGCAGTTTGCCTGACTGCTGCAATAGGTTTCACAGTGACAGTTTGGACCTCAGACTGTGTGTAAGTATGGAGGACATGACAGCTTCCCAAAGATGAAGACATAATATCTCTGAAATGGGTGCTAGTGATGGTATTTGCAGCGGTCTCCACCTCTGCAGACAGCATGGTGTACTAGTGATATTGAGTGATATTAAAATCCCATTTCTTGCCAAGCCCTTGATACCAAGCCAAGAGCATAACCAGTCTATGTAGAAGAAGTAGTTGATATGTAGCTTCCTGCACAGTGAGAAGTTGCTAACATATTTTATCTAGACAATGATAAATTAAAAGTGTCCGTAATAGTCAAGAGGGTGGTGGCAGAGCTACATCAAGTGTAAGGTGTATTTGCCAAGCAGAGGGTGGGACCGTGATAACATATCTCCACCCCCATCATTATTCAGCATACTCTGAATGCAAAGGATGTCAGCAGTGCAACATGGCAGTTCCCATTTCTGTGATATTTTGACTTCACTTTTTACTGTGAGAGGAAGTGGTGACGAGTCATCCATCTTTAGATACAGTCCTTTGTTTGGACCCACCGTAAGATGATGAGCTTGTCACAGTCTCAGCTGCAACACACTTAGAGCACAACTGGTGTATTTGGGCTAGACAGTGTACAGTGACAGTGTTTTAGTGTTAGCTAGTCAGATCATATCTCAGCCAAAATCCTGTTTATTTTTGCTAATGTTTCTGTTGATTTTCTGTTTTCTCCAGCTGACATCCTGCTCTTTGCTGTGCCTCCTGTCTACGAGAAGAACAAGGTGAGATTGTGACCCTTTATCCCAGGGCAGGATGAATATATCAGATGACAAACTGCCCCCTGAGAGCTGCAATGATGTCAGCAGTTAGCAAACGTAACCATCAGCAATGAGCTCACTGGATGACTGCAGTCTTCATCAGACACTAAGGGCTTTCTGCATCGCTCTTGTTGCTCACCCAGTAAAGCTGCTAAGGGCATGAAGTCACTGTTAAGACAGATAAGGAGGCTCTCGGCATGAAGATGACGTACATCCTGCAAAATGGGAATTTTCTGACATTCGAAGATTACATTAATGCAGGAAGTTTGTTTTGTCTCTTACACAGTGGCCCAAAATTAGTGTTCTTGTAGCTGTTGACAGTCAGTTTCAGTAAAAATTTGTACTGGTGTACTCAGTCCCTGTAAGCCATGATAGTGCACCAGCATGTACAAATGCAAGGCCTCCCCTAAGTGGAATACAGCTATTTTTAATAGTTGTGTTTTCCCTCTTATGATAAGTCAAAATGTCTGACATGAGAAAGATCTATACTCAGTTGTGACCCATGCTCAGTTTCAAATTTTATCTTCAGCAGTGTGCTGGCTGGAAAGTTTAAGTTGTACAGTTCCAATCAAAATTATTCAAACCTCTTATCCTGCATGACATTCTCGTAATAATAATAAAAATGTAATAAAAGAATTTCAACTAAGGTCTTGGTGGATAGTTACAGAAAGGTTTGTAATACATTTTTTGAGTGAGTGAGAACACAATGTTGAACTTCCGAACATTAAAGATGACATTTTCTCCATAACAGCCAAAAAGTACATCTCTCCAACCAGTATTTTGTGAAACATCCTTCAACTATCATGACCTTTAACAAATATTACGGTCGTTTCTCACAAGCTTTAAGGAGTCCAATGTGTCAGTTACATTCAAGTTAACCAGTTCCTACAACAGGATTTACCTGTTAAGCAGGTATTCCTCTTGTCTAGTAGGATCTTCTTAAGACCAATTCATGCTTTCCACATCTGCAGGTCTGCAAGGGTATCCATGATATGCATTTCATCATCCACCAAGTGTGCAATATCAGAGAAATAAAAAGCAACCATAAAAATCAATTAGTATCTGTTAGGTTTTAATGGTTCTCAAAAAACAATGGTGGTGTTATTTTTTTTTTTAGTTCCTTTAAAGTAAGCATGTTTTTTACGAAATTTCCTTTTTCTCCCTCCAGACCCAGATTGATCAGTACATCGATCTGGCACGTACTCAGATCAACACCACAATCGCCAAGTAAGTACCTCTAATCGTCAGTGTCAGTTTGTTGCAGAAACATCTGATAACCAACTGCTTTAATGCAAAAATACAGTTAATAATCTTTGGTTTTCACACCTGTTCTTTTCTCTAACAGGTTGCAAGAGAAACTTCCTGGGGCTGTGAAGCGCAGCAAAACTGAATGATCAGACCCCACATTAAAAGCCTCTCCATCACCATCATCCTCATCTCCATCATCTTAAACCCCTGTATCTTCCTATCTTCCCCTGTCCCTCTCCAGTTAACCCCTGTCCCCAGTCTAACTGCTCCTCCTCACTCCATTCAACCATCACCACCCTACTACACTGAACCTTGCTAGGTAGAAAATCTCTGAGCTATTCAATATTTAATGTAAAACTACTGCGCAGCTTAACTTGCAAGCATTAGAAAAGAACTGTGCCTGTGCAGACAGGAAGCACGTCGCTAGCGAGGAAGTGATGTAACGCCGCGGCGGACCCGCCTGTCTGTGGGCGTGCCACAGGGGAATGGAGGCAGGGTCGAGTGAACTAGACTGAATCTATTACCTGGTTTCGTCATGTACAGTGAGCAGGGGGTGGATGATGGCTGTTTATGTCACACAAAAAAAGCAAATGTCTGTACTTAAAACCACGCATTTCCCTGAAGGTAAACGGCTGATTTAAGCTGGAAAAGTTAACGAAAAGTAAAAATGTAAAAAAAAAGAGGAAAAAAAAAAAAGGAAAACCAACCTTTTGGGTGTTCATTGTGGCTAGTCTTATCCTGCTCTCTTGCTCTACAGCTGTTGTATGGATAAATAAAAGTTAATTTTTAGAAGCTGGTAATGGGTTTGCTGTTACTGACTGGCCTGTTGTTGAGTTTGTTTCTGTTCACCTTACAGGCACTTCTGTATGTAAGATCCTGCAATGCACTGAACTTTATTTTTTTTTTATTTTATTTTATTTTTTTTAAACATGAGCAGGTTGAAATAAAAGGATTGGAACACTGAGCCAGCTGTGATAATTTGGTCTAGTTCACCCTCTTTTGATCAGATGCATTTTTTTGAACAGTTTTCTCTATGTATATACACTTTAAGACAACTACAGGCTCTCTCTGCTGTAAGGAACACATTAGCCTCGCTTTTTATATCAAAGGAAAGTTCCCTCACTTACAGCAGTCCTAACTCCTTTTGTCGCACCTGTTCAAGTCGCAAAGTGTTGAGGTCACATTCACTTGTAAATTTTAATTATTCTAATCACTACTTATTACTGTTATTGATATTAATTATAGGATGGCTGCTTTGACTCCCTACTAGCTTGACAACAGCATTGTAAGAGTTATGTTAAGTGTTATTGAGCTTAATAATTATAAACAGGGGATCTATCAGAGTCCTCTTGAGAAATAAATTCCCGATTGTTTGATAGGTTAAGCAACACACCTTCTGATGTGTTGCCTCAATCCCTTCATCTTAAATCCCAAAACGGCTTCCCAGATTGCCACTGTGTTGAGTTTTAAGTTTATGGAGTGCCAAGAATGCCACACTTTTACAGTGTTTAATTTTAAGTTTTGAAAAAAAATGCAAGCTCTTTTTCAGTTATCTTCCCTAAAGACCATTAATACAGTTTGTTTGTTTTGTTTTTTTAATTTCAGCAACTCTACTGTTCCTAAACTGAACAAATTTGCTTTTTTTTTTTTTTTTTTTTACAAGAGTTGCCAATCAGCTTCTGTTGCTTCCATGTCGGTGAGAGTTTTAGTGTTTTTGGCAAAACACTGCTTCTGTCTTAACAAACTACTTAAAGAGGACATAATGTTAAGTGGAATACAAAAGCAAATTTTCTGTCTTTACAGTAATCCCTTTTTTTAAAGAAAAAGAAAATGAAAATAAAATATAAAACTTCATTTGTTGTAGCTTTTTATAAATGTATCAGTGAATTTTATAACAAACACTGTTTAAGTCATGACTGAATTTGGCACATTTGGCACTCCATGTAAACCTCAGCAGTGATCCGAAAATTGGAGATTAGGGGTTGGTATAACAAAATGAATGGGTGTAGTTTGCAGAGTGTAAGTGCAGAAGATGGAAGCAGTTTTTGGAGGGGTTATTATAGAGCTCTGTTTGTCACTTTGTTTTTCTTTGACTGCCATGAAGTGCATGTCGTAGTGTAAGCTGGAAACAGATTTTCACCCTTTATATAGGCTGTATCATATTCTTGACCCTGAGTTTTGTTTAATATGATTACTTGTGATTGTTTAAATGGTGTTTTTGAACTCAGTATAAACCATAGTCATATGTTGGCACTATCGCGCTACGTCTCATATTGTTTTAAGGGATTAATATATAGATGGAAAAGAAATGAGTCATATGTTAGTGTTTCTGTCCATTTCATTGTGCCCCAAAGTGTCTCCTCAATACTAAATGGCTAACAGAGGAAGGTCATTCTTTCACTGCCTCTCATTGCAGTAATTAATTGAACAAAAACTACTACGACTACTCAGACATCTGCCTGTATGCTGAATGTTTTCTCTTGTGGAACATTCCTCCCTGTGCATGCCCTCTACTGTGTGTCATTGCACTGTGATCGCCTCACACGTATCTTGATTGATTCCTCATGCATGCATGGTGTCTCATTCACACCTCTGGGTGGTAAAGGCAAAATATGCAACTTTTCTGTTGGATGCTAGCTGTTAGCCTTCACTCTTTTAACTGGGTAGGTTTTGACCCGTGGCTGCTTGGCAGTCATGTAGCTGTAAGCTAGCCTGAGGCTGAGATAAGCAGCATCTGTGCAGTTGCTACAGACACTGAGGAAGCAGACAGCGTATGTGAAGGGTAATCAGGCCTGCAGACATAGTGATAATGTTGTTATGCATTCTGTACATTTGTTTGAATATGAATAAGTTGCATATTGTTGCTTTAAAAGGACATGTTATCATTTTCATTTGACTTAATGCAAGCTACTGAAACACCTTTTAGTTGTTTGGTTTACATGAATTCTGTTTATGTTTGGGGTCAGTTCAACCAAATTAAATAATTATAAAAAATTCCATACTTACCTCTTGCTGTGCATATGTTTTGGTTGTATTTAATTTCGCCTGATTGATGAAATTGAAACTATTGTTGGAAGGTCATTTAGGCCAACTAAAATCCGAATTAGAAGTATTTGTAACTATTATTTTATCCGTGTTTTTTCCTTGGAGCTCCTTTCTACAAAGAAAACATTGCTGACAGTGTGTTTTCCGATTCAAATACAGTGTTTCAAAATCTGTGAGACACTAAGTATCTGAAACTAAGTCTGATTTCTGGAGGAATTGTTGGCAATCAAATTTATCTGCATGCCAGATAACACTGGAGGTAAATTTTGTGTTTTGGGTGAGCTGATCCTTTCATATTTCTCCAGCTACCGTCAAGCTCTCAGTCTGGCCTCATCCCTCACGTGTTGTGCTTTAAAAGCTAATTTTCTTTTCAGATGCACTGCACCTTCATGATGGCCATGTTTCTTGTGTTAGCGTGCTACCAAGGCTAGATAGATAAATAAGTTGGCGTATTTCGTTAGTGTAATATATGATATGAATAAAAGTCAACATATTTTTTCCTGTTCCTTCACAGCATGTTGCTTTTCTTCTTTTTCCTGTTTGTCAGTGTGTTTTCATCAGGTATGGGAGTGTGTGACAGGACTGTGTTTGATTTTTTTTTTGTGTCTTTGGCATTTTGCTTTGGACTCTACTGGTATCTAGACGTTGTTCACTAACATCAGCTCTGTTTTGTATTAGCTATGACTTTGGTTCCAATTTTTGAAGCGTTGAGAAAGATGTTGCAGGAAAAAAGAAGAAAACTGAGAAAAAAAAGTATGTGGTCTCTGTACTGATGTCAAAGTGAAATTAATAAAAACACCTCAAAGGTCTGTTGCTTAGGGTGGGTCTTTTCACGTTATTTTGAGTGAAGGGCACTTGATAAAAACAACATGTTTTCTTCCAGCAGGCATGCAGTGTGGGAGGGAGGAGGATTAAAAATGCATCCAGATGAGATATCTAAAATAAGAAGATTTGACTTGAGAGGCTGCTGTCTATTATGGTGTTTGGGTGGAGAGAGGATTATAGTCTCTAATTTTAGAACAGGCCAATCTACAAGAACAATAAAGTGTTGGTAGTCAAATGTATACTTGGCATCTCTTTTAAAGCCTGTGTGGCATTACACAATAGAATCGAAGCCACATATTAGTGAATCTTTAATGAAATTTTGTAAAGTTAGAGAATAGCATACACTGAAGGAAGCTTTTCAGCTTTTGGAAGTACATGTAAAAGTGTACTTTATTGATTGCCAAACTTGGTTTTCTCCTCTACCAAAGCAAGTTTATTAAGGTCTTAGCGCTGAAAGTGCAAAGAATTGATTGGACTCGTTCTGATTCTTAAAATTATTTTTTAAATGAAACAAACGCACTAAACATGCTCAAAAACTCACCAAAATTTGCACGCACATCCAGACTATCCAAAAATGTAATATGTTTGGGAACTTGGGCATGTGAGGGGCACAATGGCTCCATAGCCCACCCTAGAAACTTTCAACGAAGTACCACTGGAAATACATGTGGCCTACACCTATGAAATTTGATAGGCATATGTAACATCTCAGGACACACAAAAAAGTCACTGGGCACGATACCCTAAACCCAACAGGAAGTCCACTATATTGAATAAACAATGAGCTTTTGGGTGGAGCCTATCCCAGCTGACTTAGAGCGAAGGCAGGGGACACCCTGGACAGGTTGCAACTCCACCGCAGGGCTGCACATAGAGACAGACAACCAAGCACACTCACATTCGCACCTACAGACAATTTAGAATCACCAATTAACCTCAACATGTTTCTGGATCTTGTGGGAGGAAGCCAGAGAGCCCGGAGAGAACCCACACTGCACGGGGAAAACATGTAAACTCTACGCAGAAAGATCCCAGGTGTCCTCACTGGTGACCTTCTAGCTGCGAGGCAATGGTGCTAACCACTGAATCACCTTGCAGCCTATCAAAACCAGCAGGTAGCTGTAAATATGTAAGAAATAGGCCAGCTGACTATAAATTACCAGGTTCATTTTGGTCAGCAGCAGCGGTTAGCTCCAGCCCACCTGACACCCCTTAAAAGAAAATTTGGTGTAGGTGATGGATAGATTTTAGGACAATTAATGGCATATTCAAACCTAAAATTTCCCCTTGCTAAATTAACTGGCAAATGGATCTAAACCTAGCTACACTGTGAGTTACAACAAAACAAATCAATCCCCACTAAACCAACCAAGTTGCTTACCACAAGGCCTGTGACATGAAGAAGTCAAAGAAACCCAACTCAGCATGGTTAGACCTGATACACTGAGTTCAGGAATCATCCATCCATTATCTATACACCGCTTAATCCTCACTAGGGTCTTGGGGGCGTAGACAAGTCGCCAGTCTATTTCAGGGCAACACATAGAGACAAAAACACCTACGGACAATTTAGAATCACCAATTTCCCTCAGCATGTTTTTGGACTGTGGAAGCAAATCGGAGAACTAGGTGAGGACGCATGCTGCACAGGGAGATCCCAGGCGTCCAAACCAGGACACGAACCAGGGATCTTCTAGCTTTGAGGCGATGGTGCTAACCCCTGATCCACAGTGCAGCCCAAATTCAGTCATCAGTTTTATACAATTTGCTGATCATTTAAGAAACAATGAAAACTGACCGACTATAAAATTGTATTTGAAATCCCACTTTAAAACATTATTTTATTGAGAGTTTGCAACTAACTACTTTATTATTGGTTCCTAACTTATTTACAGATGCTTTATACATCAGTTACAGTTGTTATTACCAGCAAATATAATCTGCAGTTATAAAGAATAAATGTTTTGGTGAATAGGAGTCAATGTTAATTAATAATGAATGAACATTTGAGATAGTTTAAATGACATTCATTTATTTAATAATAATTACTTCTTTAGCTGAATTCTTTTTGATGCTCAGTGTATCAAACTATATATAAAGTGGCTCTATTAAATACTGTATGTTTTTTCAAAAACAAAGTTTTACAGGGCCATGTCCTCATCTAAATTATTAGCATGTTTCAGCTTATCTTAAAATGTTGGTACAGTACATAAAGTATGTCACCATATGTATATGGGCAACTGAATATTCCTTCTGTTTATGACACATTATTACATAATTATGACACAAACTATCGTCATGGTGTTGAGTATTTATTCAAAGATCACTGAGGAGAGAATGCACATGTCTTACGTTGGCCATGTACAGATGAAAAGTGATGAGAAAGTTAAAGAAAAACAAGGAGCAGAGTCATGGGTCACCACAAGGAGTCTCCCCACACATACACAGTATAAACAGGCACACACACACACACACACACACACACCAGCAAATGTATCAGGTCTCACTTCAACAAATCTTCTATCATCAATTTGTAACTCACTTCATTTTAAATAAATAAGTGCTATGTCATTATTCTTAGAGTGACATGAGATCTATTTTAATCCAAAAATAGGAGGCTGCTTCTGTTGTCAGGTCATGGGCTCAGGCAGACGTTTGCTTTACCTCCACATTAGTATTGTATCAAAGTCAATTTTGATCATTCTTCAAATGTTATAATTTAACGTGTCATTCACACATACGTACAACAGAGTAACAGGGCCACTGAAAGAACAAACCGAGAATTTCAAGAGAAAAAAGTCACAGCGCTACAGTATAAAGTTGTAATTTTGTATCAACAAAACAAAACAAAAATCTAAAACATGATTTTTCCAAAATGAATTCTATACATCAAATATAAAGCATCCTGTGATAAGATTGAGCATAATAAATTAAATGTGCATGATTTAGATTTCTTGACAGTCCAATAAATACATTGAATGTACAGCTGTAAATGAAATGTATAAAAGATTTTAGCTTAATTTTTCAAATAGTTTTCAATAATGTAATACTTTTCTGATGATAGTTACTTTGTCTTGTAATGTATCTTTTCCCTCAATTAGTACAATTACTGCTAATTTACTTTAATACTCACGCTTTGATTAGAATTTTTTCTCAAAACTGTGAAACTTTTAAGATCAGAATATTGGGACTTTTTCTTCAAAACTCCATCTTTTTTCTGACATTCTTATTCCTTTTCTAATAATATCATGATTTCCTTCTTGATAACAACTAAAAATGGCAATACTTTTACATTATTCTAAAAAAATATTAGACCTTTTCTTTTTAACAGTGGCCCTATTACCCAAATTCATGGCAACACCTCTACAACCACAGCTGACACATATATTCTGTATCTTCGAATATCAACATCTGACATTGAAAAAAAATAAAAAATTAGTGATGAAATGGTTGCTGATGAAAACACAATCCCTGAGTTACATTTTCCAGGTGAAGAGGGGACATCTTATGGCAGACTTTCTCACAGAGTTAAATTTTAACTTCTTTTGTTGCATAAATTTTGTACAGTGAATGAAAAACATGAAGCCGTACCGAAGCCGGAGCAAACTTTTAAAAGTGAATGCACAAGTCCAATGAGCCTTTCACCAGCTGTTAAAGACAGACAATATTGTTGAAAAACTGGACATAATTACAAACACATTTTGTGGACACCAGGGTGCATAAAAGTGCTTATATAAAGAAAAAATAATTCAAATTTTCATATATTTACATATATTTATGTGCAGCTTTTAGCTAAGATGACTTGTGGCTAATGAAAAGGATGCAGGCCGGTGTATGACACAGAGTCACTGAGATAACATATCTCATTATAATGGATGAGTGAGAGGAGGGCATCCCCCTTCATTGTAAACAAGGAATAAATAGACCGAAGAGATCGGAACTTACTGACTGCACGCTGTCATTCATTGTCTTCAGCAATAACATCAAACACAGTCTTAATCAATTGGCTGTACAGAAGGAAAGTTAGGATTTAGTACATTTTTGGGGACAAAGTGCTGCGTTGTCTTCAGACACATTTTTTTTTTTTTTAGACTAATTCACTTCGGCCTTGCCGAAGAATCTGTTTCTAACTTCCTGAGAGAAGACTCAGGCCCCGACCAGAAACAAGCCTTGGGGCCCCCTGACAGATAGACACCAAATATGTCATTGTGCCATTAAAAGCTTAAAGTCCAGGTACCCATTAGGTGTTGAAGGAACAGAGCTTTATCACAACGGACTGCACAATAAGAGAACGCTAAAACTGGCTTACCTAAGCAGAATGCAGCGATTTTAAATACTAAACACTTGTGTTTTTCCTGCTATGACAATCCAATATGCCTACTGTGCAGAAGCTTTATGGGACAATGCATGAATAATTGTTAATGTCTAAAACCACATATTCAGTGCTACAGCATGGAACAGAAGTGGGTACACCCCAGTGCAACAGCACTTTGATGTCAAGTGATTTAAAATTGTATCACCTCTCAACAATTGCATTACTTCTGAATTGAACAATATGATATTTGCTTTTATGTAATATTAAAAATGAGCAGTTCAGATTTACTATAGTAAAAAATTAGACCCAGCAGGGGAAATTCAGCGCTGAAAAACACCTATGCTCAGTCTGAACAGCTAGAAAATAACCTATGAACAGCAAAACTTGGAACATGGAAAAGAATTAGCCGGGGAAGAACCTTGTTGTGAGACTTGTATAACACAAAGATGGAAAGGGATCCCGGAAAATCAGTGACCAACGAAAAATAAGTCAATATATAGTTGCAGTCGGCCCAGTTGCACTCAAGAGTTTCTAGAAAAGTGAAAAGTATGACCTGGCCAACTCTGTCACTTGACTTTACTCCCATAGACAACCTTTCAGCTAATTTAAAGAGAAAGGGAGGGCAACACAACCCCTCTTGCAAAGAACAGCTACAAAGATTGTCTCTGACAAACAGCAGAATACTAACTGGTATCTTCCATACCAAAGGACATTGAGATGTCATCAAACATCAAACAGGAACAACATTGAGTTCCTACAGTCGGACCTGTATTTTTCAGAGTGCATGTTTAGAATAAATACAAACTGTTAGTTTGAAAAATTAAACAAGATCAAATACTGTTCAACTTAAAAGTAATGAAGATATTGAGAGGTGATACAATTCAGAATCAAATCAAAAGCGACATTGCACAATAGTGTACAGGGGTGTTGTATATGGTCGAATTGTTCAGACCAGAAGGTTACACAGCAAAATGCATGTTTGTGTCCTCTTGAGGCAGCTGCAGCTGAATATTTAGCTGAATAACAGTGGCTTGCTAAGAGTTTGCATTCTAGCTAGCTTAGGAACATGCTACGATTAGCAGCCACAAAATGATCGCGGAACATCTGGATTTTTTTCTGCTGTGCTGGTGAGTTTCCAGAGCTGTATTTTCTTTGTAAGCAAACAATGTAATCATTACTTAAGTCTGTAAAAATCACAGAGAATTCAAGGACAATGATAGAAATCCTCTGTGAGAGATTATTGTGTAGCATTAGGCTGGAGGTGATGTCAAGACTTCAAGCTTCATCAGCTCCGACCCTGACACTAACAATAGCTGGTGTAAGACTTGCTATTTAGCAAGCTTGCTAACAAGACAAAAGCTTTTGAAGGAAATATGTGGAACATTATTCTCTCATGATTGGAAATGATATCTCTTCTGTGGAAACTTTAATCTGCAGACAAGCAGAGTTAGAATAAAGCAGAAAGTGCACCACAGCTAATATGTCTAGCTAATGTCATTTTGCAAGATTTTTGAAATGTCACCATCATAAATGTTGGTGTGACCAGGCCTCTACCTGGAGACCTAATGTGCTTTAAAATAGTACTTAAAATACCATTATACCAAGTATATAATTTGTAAAGAAAAAGTCTACCACTGTGGAAATCAGCATTTCAGGAAGGGGTATATATTACTTTTTCAAAAATATTCCTTGTCATTCCCATACTGTTTTTGGTACAGAATTATCTCACTAATCAGGAGGAAGACCCATCTAGGTTACTAATGGTCAATGTAGTACCTTCAGATACTTGTATCCATACAATAATTTGCTAAATCTCATGAGGTCTCCTGGAAAGAAAGGTGATGTGCAAATAAATCTTAAGTTTCAAATGAGTGGCTGGACTTTTGTTTTTTCAGGCAATGACATTTTTAGGATGTGTCATTTCCTATGTGGGAGCTCCTCGCTGCTGCTTTAACCACAGCAGTGCTCTTTGATGCAGGTCAAAAAAGAGATTGCAGTATTTGTCAAACTGGGTCATATTCTTGTATTTTTGTCCGTTATGGCAACATTTTACTCTGCACCCACACTGTTAAAATTGGGGGACAAGAGTGAGAAAACAGGACGCAGTTTGACAAATACCTGACTTTTTCTGTTTAGAAGAGGAAGTTGGGGGCTGTTTCTGAACAGGGGCCATGTGAGGCGCAACAGACGGAAGCCCTTTCTAAGTGCCCAAGTGTGCTGGAGTGGGAGCCAGCTCAGTGTGTCCGTGGTCCTGGGAGGAAAAGCAGTCATCCGAGTGGACGAAGTGCAGGGCAGTCTGGTTGTAGCTCAGCAGGGCCTGCTGCTTTTGCTCTGGGCTGTAGAACAGGGAGTGAGGGTGAACCTGCTGGATGTGCCTCTTGATGGTGCTGACCTTCAGTGTGGCTAGAGTGGCCCCACACACCATGCAGATCAGCCCATGTCTCCTGCAGTCGTAATCCATCATGTAATCCATTCGCCAGCGCACCTGGTAGTTCCTCCTCTGGTCCTTTCCGGGGTAATGGCCATGGCGCGAAGGTGTGGCTGCAGTGCCACCGTCTTTTGATTTACCCTTCACTCCAATACCACTCTCCTCTTTTTTCACTATTTTGCTGGGTGATTTGACATCAGGGGAGGTTTCCTCATTTGTCTCTCCTGTGGTATTTAGGATACCAGCATCGCCACAGTTGATTTCTGCAGAAATAAAGTAGATCAGAGATTGGTATGTAAAAGCATTTCTTTATCACGCTAAACAGCCAAGTGAGGCAGCAAAAAAGATGAGTACCAGCCAAATAATAAAAGTGGTGGAAAAAAGAATAGGATGTGGTGGATTTACCTGCACCTTACTGGTTTCCATAATAATTTCAAAATATTTCCACAGCAATAATTCCATCAGTTCAACAAATAAGTCCTGTCATACAAACCACTCTGCTGCTTTGAATTTCAGTTTTTTAAACAAATGCCATTCTCATTGACTCAATCGGCCTTTGTTCATTGCTACCGTCAATGCAACTCAGGGGTTACATTGGAGGAAAAAATAGAGGAAACATTTGCAAAGAGCAACCCCGTAAGGAACAAGAAAACAGACAGAGCACAAAAGCTATTGCTGCTCTGCTGATGTGCTGCTTATGCTACAAATTCAATGTAGACAATGTCTTTAAAAAACAAAAACAAAACAAAGAATAATATTAAAACAACAAAAAAAAGCACTTATGTCACAGTGGCATGCAGACACCTACAGTACATAACATAACATATCTGCAATACCACTTAATATAAAATTCTCTAAATTGTACCACCATACATTCCTTGCAATACTTCTTAGTTAAACAGTAGTATACCTGCTCTAATGTTTAATTAAAAACTAAAAAAAACTTCTGATTTTCAAGATTTAAAATTCAGGCCCCACAGTGGGAACTTGACGTAACATAAATCTGTACACTTTTCATTACTGAGATTCAAATCTTTTATTTTTCAAATCCTTGTATTCCTGCCTTTGTTTTTGATGGTAGACTCAGTCCAGTCAGCATGGATACCAGTGTTGCATAAATATCTGCTTTAGTGTGGACTACTAAAACTATTATCTGGCAGTTTTTTTTCTATGTGAAGCTATGATCCAGACATGGGAATGTATGCAGCCGGTAAGTCCAAAAGTGATAAATGTTTGGCGATAACAAGTCATTTTATAACCACTTTTATGTCAGACTACTCGGAAATCACGGCTGAACTCACTTTCGTTACAATGATCACAGGGTTTTTATCCTCTATGTTAGCAGTCACACGTCTGTTGCACTGTGTTTCTACTTTGGGGTTTGTATTTTCAATACAGGCTTTCTAAAGGATTTTTTGATTGTTCATAAAGGCCTCTTACCATCTTGTATATGCGTGCTTTCACTCGAATAGTCTTTGGTCCAGGCTGCAGCCATGGCTTCCCTTTCTTGTCGGCTCAGGGTTGTGGTCTCAGGGTGACATTCTTGGATGTGGCGGCGGAAGCTGCTGACCTTGGTTTCATGGAGGACCTGAGAACACACCATGCAGAACGTGCCCTGGCCCTGAGGCCCGTAAGCCACTAGGTAGTCGAGGCGGAGCCGCCATGGGTCACCTCCGCGTAGTCGCCTCTTCTTCGGCTGGCGGAGGGGCTGAGGTCCCTGCTGCGGAGCTCCAACCCCTCCGTCCTCACCAATAAGACAAGTGTCCTGAGTTAAAGTGCCATCACCTTCTGGGTACAAGTCAGTGGTGATCTGGATAGTCTCCACGTCCTCAGCAAAGAGGTCTACCATGCCGTCTTTGGTGTTGGGCTCTGATTTGACTGAGTTTTCTGGCTCTTCTATTATGGGGCAGAGAAACACACAATATTTAGAATATTAACAAGATTATTTCCTTGATATGTAACAGTTCTCTTGAGGTTTAGGCTCTGCACCTGTGTCACAGACTATTAGGAACTGCTGCTCAATGATCGAACTTAACAGTGATTATCAATGCTATTACTGGATACTGCTTGAACACAGTAAGCTCAACACTCTTTATTTAGACTCTGATGTCAAGAGGCAGTGCTGGAAGATTCAAGAGGGAGATGGGATATCCAGACTGCTCCCTCACCTTGTTACCATGGCAATGCTGATCCAGATAAGCAGTGATAAAAAGGGTTGGTGGGTGGTAAATATGTGCCTGCGACCTCAATATATTTCCGGCTGATGCGTGACTTAATGATCAGATGACTTAATCAAACTCTAAATTGTCTACCAACAGTCACAAATGCTTGGAACTGTTTTTTGCACGTAGCAAACCAAAACCAGTCAGGACAAGATTTAGTATTTTACTTACTCGTATGTTGCATCTGGTCTTAATGGTTCAATATTAAGCCCACAATTTGTATGTGAGTGCATGTAGTGTTGTGCCTTCACTTCTCACCATGAGCCTGAGCCCAGGCCTGCAGGATGCAGTGTTTCTCCTCGGAGCTGTACACCAAGGAGTTGGGGTGGGTGTCCAGCACGTGGCTTTTGATGTGATCCAGATGAAGCGAGGGTAATTCTGCTCCACACACCATGCAAAGCAGCCGACCGGCCACCGCCTCGTACTCCATCAAGAACTCCTGGCGGAACCATGCATGCAGCGAGTCATTAAGGTAGCGTTCCAAGGTCTGGGCTGATGGTCCAGGGATATCATGCTCCTCCTCTTCCTCCTGCGGTTTGGGGGCTTCACCCTCAACAGAGTGCGGAGACAGACTGAGGGGTTGTTGTGGCTGCTCCTGGGGTGTCACAGGGTCTGGATGTTCTGCTTACAGTTAAAAAAAAAAGAGGTAATCAGTAGTATTCATACATTTAGAACAAAACGAAAAACAAACAAAAAAAGAAAAACACATAATAAAGCATTTTTACCCCCACCAAGGGGCCCTAAAGTAAAAATTTTAATCAGGGATTTGAACAAAAAGAGTTCAGTGACATCACACAATGGTTTTTGACAGCTGAATTTACATATAATTTACATGACATCATGTAAGTGCTAAAAGAAGTAGCATATCTCTTACAAATGTAAAGATGAATTCATAAGCAATTACATAGACCCCTGCTCATTTCAGTACACTTTTTCTGCGACAGTCTTACTTAGTCTGGTGTGACAGATAGGTTACCGTGGCTACTCTAAACAACAATTTCAGATATTCAATATTGAGTCACCCTTTTTGAGACCGATAGGGTCATGGTGGGGGGGTTCTAGAATTTTTTGTTCTAAAATTTTGAGTACAGCCTTGTTTCATTTTGTGAGCACAGACTTCACCAGTTTTCCTTTTTGGGTAAAGTCTACCTATGATTGAGGTCACACAGTACAGTCAAAATCCCTTCCTTCGTATTATTTTGTTAAAGCAGTGTTGTTTACCAGTCAGGAAGCAGAGCAGTTCATTTACTGACCAGCACCTGTCCACATGTCAAAAGTGTTCTTGCATCACCATCACTGGTATGTTTGTGTATTTGTATTTGTGTGTGTGTGTGTAGGATCTCTATATGAGTGCAGTTCATTTACTATCTCAGATGTCCCAAAAATGCACATGAAGGCAGCATAACAACCTTTTTTCATTCTCTAGTGTCAAAAGCTACAGTAGTTGAACCATGTGTCATATATGAGAAAAAAGTGACAATTTAACATTTCAAAGTGTGCTCATAAACTGGGTAATCTCCATTATTGTACTCTCAATTTCAAATATGATTCTGTTCTGTGAATTTTGTCCCAGTCATCTCTCCAATCCCCAACACATTGTCTGTAAACCATTACATCACCCTCCCCTACTCACACACCACCATACCAAAACACAAACGCATACTGCCACCCAGTGTAAGAATTACAAAACTCCAAGACAAATTACTCTAAGTGGAGTCTTACCCACCAGCACTATGTTGGCCCGAGTGCAGCGTGTCCTCTTCACCCTGAGGTGAAGGTCCAGCATCAGAGCTGTATGACCTCTGACCTCCTCCCAGGCTCAGGTGGCTCTCCCACCCTGAGCGGATCACCTCCTTGTCGGCAACGCTCCATAGCAGGGAATCTGGGTGTTTCTGTCGAATGTGCCTCTTGATGGTACTGAGCTTCAGTGTGGCTAAAGAGCTGCCACACACCATGCAGATCATGCCATGCCTCTGGGGGTCAAAGTCCATTAGGTACTCGCTGCGCCAATACTCGTGGTAGTAGCGTCGGTGGTCGCGGCCAGGAATCCGGCTCAGGCCAGGACGTGAGGCCCTCTGGACCCTGGGTTTGCGTCCAGAGGGCCCAGGGGCCGGGGACAGGAGGAGTGGGTGGTCAGGGCCCTCTGTGATGCTCCAATAGCTAGTGCCTGGTGATCTGACAGGCGTGACCATGCCAGTCTCTGATTCTTCCCCGCCATGGCCATTGGCAAGACCGTCTTCTTCTGGCAGGAACAAGACAGAATACAGATCAGTCCTGGCATGTTGTTGTTGCAAGTTGTCATGACAACAACAAATCTTAAAGACACATGGACAGATCTTATTAGTAAGGATGTCCTAGCCTACCTTTTCTGTTCTGAGACCAGTTCTAATGGATTCCGTGTTGTGCTTAATATGGAGCACCACTCTCATAACAGTGCGTTTGGGGTTTTTTCTTTAAATACAATAATCTGTAAACCTCTCTGTGTGGACTTGATATGGACAATGATTCTAAATGTAAAGTAACAAGAGACCAAGTACACATCATAGCCTAGTTATATTAGTATGTTCAAGGTTCATATTTTTTGCTACATTTTACAATGATGGTAACTAAGAAGCTGTATCTAATGTGGATCTGGACAATGCCCAATCCACTTAATGAGGTCAGCAGTAGAGCAGATGCATCAGTACTCCTACGGCTAAGAGCATGTGGAGGAAATGCTAATGTATGTGGATGCACTGCACTAATCTATAATGATGGAAGTTTGCTGAATAATTGGCTGCTATTAATGTATCACAGATGTATTTGTATGTGTAAGCTGTAAAGCAAAAAAAATTGCCGGTGTTTGTTTACTCTTCCTGTAAACTGGAATATGTCCTTCTTAGTGCATTTTTTATGAGCGTATATAAAAACATTTATCCATATATTGGCCAAAATTAATACTCAAATCATAGCATCGGTATCTGCATGAAAAATCCAGCATTAGTCAAAGTATGGACACACAAAACTGTGTAGTTTTACTGAATATGAAACTACCACGAGACTCCAGTAAAGTTCATTTCACACAGGTCTGTCTTGAAAAAGAAATCTGAAGCTAAGTGAGACTTGGTAGAACTTAAATAGCTTGTTAATCCAAATGATTGCATTCTAACGTCACATCAGACAGAGTGATATAAAGAATTATGCTGTAAGAAACGGTTAGATATAAAATAGTTGTATTTTAATTCTATTATTGGGCTCATGATAATTGACAGCTGGTGCGCTAGACTTCCCTCTTCATTTACAACCGCTGTCACTCCTAATTAAACGTACCTTCCGTATAGAGCTGTTAGTGGTCATATGCTTTTTGGTCTTACATAAAGGAAAGTAATTCTCTTGTTCTGTATTACCTAATGTGGGGTTATTTATTGTAATATTGTTGATGAGTTGACATGAGGTGGACTGTACCTCTGCTGTCCACTAGGTGTCAGCTGTGTGTCTGCTACGCCTGCCTGCGTGCTGTTGAGCCTTTGTTTATAGGAGCCACAGAGACGGAGGGGCCATGCTGCTCCATGGCTTTGTCCCTGACACGGATTAACTGGCTGCCTGACAATGGCCGTGTCTCTGACAGCCACGCAGACCCACTTAGCGGTGGGGGAAAAAAACAAGAATAATAACACTAGTTTTTTTCTTTACCTCCCAAGTCGCTCTCCTCTTGCGTCGCTTCCTCCTCTCCGCTTATTATTAATGAGAGCAGCTCAGGCTGCTCGGCACACCGGAGGTCCACAGGCTCGCTCTCCCCCGCTTCTTTCTCTTCCATCACTGGCCTGGCTGCTGCTTTAGTAGTGGGTGCTGTTCCTCCTTCCTTTACTGGGTCGTGGCGCCGTAACGGGACATGTCACAGTCACAACAACATGTTACAGCGGTAACATGTTCACGCCGCTCGGTACCGTTCGACACGCATCTGGCAGGCGCTCTACAACGAGCCCATCGCTGAGGAGCCCGTGCTCTCCGCTGTCCCCCCACGCGCCCCTCACGGGAGCCAAGTTAACTTTTCATACAATCACACAATCATGAATCCGCAAGCGAAAAGAGCCGCTGCTCCGCGCTACACAGGGTGGAAGCGCCTCGGCGCAGGCCTCCAGTAGTGTATTTTAAGGTTCTTGCTTGTCTTCAGGGTGGGGAGCCGAACTAGGGGCCCCTGGGGCTCCTTAAGGGGCTCCTGGGTAAATTTAAAGAGACAGTAGCAGCGTCGACGATGCACACCCACCCCGGGGGGGCAGAGGGAGCAGCAGGCGCTAGTACTGAGCTGCTAATACCGCTGCCGTTGCTCTCAGAACCAAGCGATGATAGAGGTGCTTTAGTTCGGCATAGCATCGGTTAAAAACACGAGGCGGCTCCATGGCAAATCAGGGCCCCACCAGCTCAGCTCACACTGCTTTGTACTGAGGATCCCATGTGCCATTTTCAGAAAGGTCCTCTGTTTAGTGTTGTTATAACTAGCTAGATACACTGTGAACAATGCCACATAACAACCAGCGTTATTATGGGCTCAAAATGGTTATTGCCATTACTGGTTGTTCAATTATTGGTATGATTAATTAAACAATTAGTTACAGTTTAAATATTCAAATTCCGAACAGCCAATCAGTTTACTGTCATAAAAGACCAAGAAAACCAGTAATTAGCATGTACATGTTAAGAGCAGGAATAGGGAAACAGGACGTCACATTTTCGAGAAAAAAAAACAAAAAACAACAGCAGCCACGTTTAAGGTCTCTGATCATTCAGGCTGTTCTAACCAGCATTTGTTTAAAAATCAGGAAATTCAATTACATAAAAAACAACGCTAAAAAATAAAAGTTATTTGGCTGTTGCCCCTCACAACCACCACCAGTCATGGATATAAACAATTGCATTGGTTAATTGAACATTGTTTATATTTAACCATAAACTGGACTGTCTCTGTGCCTGAAGCTTTTGCACAAAACCCAGAATCAATTGAGGTCACCGGAAGAAACACCCAATCAGTCAATCGACCTTTATCCACATATGTTCCAGCTTGGAAAAGAACATATGTTATTTGGAGCTGTAACTGTAATCTCTGTGCATTGTCACTGAATTTTCTTATGATCAGATATTGAATTTGTCTCAAATTCCGGTTTTAAATAACAGTGAAACGACAAATGACGTTCGAATTAATTGACAGCCAGTCAGATGAATGTGACGATTCATGATTTATGAAGTCATAGATAGTATTTTGAGAAATTATTTTTTTTATGCGTCTGAATGAATGGAATATGGCTTGAAATGGAAAAGAGGGGGGCGTTGCACTGTACTGTCTCTATGTGTCCACGCAACACACACAAACACACAAACGCACGCACGCAGCGAGCATCCAGGTCCCACATCCTGGTACTTTTCAGCGTTGTCAAGGCAGCCTCAGAGCACGGCTGGCTGGCGGAAAGTAGCTGCAGTGTCCTGGCAAAATATCTGTCCAAAAACGTTCCCAAAACTGTCCCGGAAAGTTAGGTGTAACTAAAAGGTAACGGATATGCATGTTTTTCTTCCTCGTGTTTTCAGGCGTGCTGCTTTAGGACTGTAATGTGCTGCTTTTCTCGCGTCTTTTAGACAGGCAGCAGACTCAGACAGGCGCCAGTCCGTGAGGACAAGAGGAGGAAGATCTTGTCCATTGTGCTACTGAGAGACACAGCGGTTTAAACACGATCTGTGCTCTTACGTGACCGTTTTCTTACCGGGTTTCTGTACGTTTTGTAAACTGTGCTTCGGCTAAGTCGACTAGCTGCGTTTCTAATCAGACAGACAGAGAATAAAGAATAAAAATGGCTCTCGACAGATATAATTTGTGATAGAAAGGGACAGGTTTAAAGGGACAGTGACACTCTGTTTCCTTCCTGGTTTCTGTAGCTTGCACATTTTTTACACACGACGGGTTTATGTCATTAAAAACGCAAAGGGTGCAATTATTTCAGGTTTCTCGTTTTAAACACAGCATGTATATCTTCATTCAACTTCACTTTCTCGTGGAAATCGCGCTCTGTGTTCACTGCAAATGTGATAGAGGAGATGGGCGTTTCAGTTATAAGCATTGTCTTGATTTGCATTGAATCCTGTTGTAGTGAATTCACGTGTTTTGCGGTATGTCAGCTCCCGAGAAGAAGAAAGTTACCAAAAAAAAGCAAGCATATCTGTGGGTGAATTCATTGCATGTCAGTTGCTGAACATATGATAAAGCATATTTGCTGAAAAGTGAATTCATAGCATGCAAAATGCAGTTTCATGTGACAAAACGCACATAAACTGTCATGTTCACTACATGTACTGAAATGTAAATTCATCACAACCTGTATGGGGATTTACAGATGATATCAAAGTTCATGCTACATCTTAGAATTTACATTTGAAATAGTAGGTGTTTGAGTATTACATTTTTTATTATTATTTATTTGTATTCACATGTTAAAAACCACATGTGGTTAAATATTGTTTCCATGTGTGTGTGTTTTTATGTAAGCAGGCCAGCATTGTACAGGTATACTGTTTGTAAATCACTCTGATTTCATGCAAGCTTTTTGGTAGTGAAATTTTTAAAGCTTAAAATACTTAGTTATCAGAATATAGTTGTCCTCTTCATGTGTCCCTATTTTTTTTACACATTACAATTTCTCAAATCAAAGTGAATTAAGGACAAGATCTGTAATGCAGTCCAGTACCACAGCTCTGCAACATATTTTAAATTTTCAAAATCTAATGTTCAGTTTTTGTTGAAGTTTTCCATCCTAAGAGATGGAATATTTTTAAGGTTATTAGTATCTGTTGAGCTAACTGACAGAAAATTATTTGGCAGCAATTCTAATATTTGTTTGATAATTTCAGTTAACTTTTAGGCAAAAGATACTCGAGATTTAGTGGTTTCTCTGTTAAAATGTGAAAGTCATTTTTTCTTCATTTTATGTTATTGTAAACTAAATCTTTTAGAATTTTGGACCAACGAAGACTTGACTTTATGATAACTTATGTTCTAATAAATTGTTGTGTTGTGTAAGGTGTTGTGATCACTTTTCACAATTTTATCAAATTTTACAAACATTTGTGACATTTCAAAGAGTAAACCATTATTGGATTAGGTGGGAAAATCAGGCAGACTAATAAATTCATCACAAGAATCATTAGTTTAAAAAAGTACAATGTAAATGTGATTAGCAGTTCTAGCATTATAGACATGTACAAATGTAATGCAGTCCACTATAACAAGACTATATACAAACTCAGTAACAAAAAAATAAAAAATAAAAATACAGTTGAATTAATGCCTCTTTGTCAGTGTCAAGAAAATCTGAGCATTGTTATCTTTTATAAGTGTATGCCAGGACTGTTTTATTGGATTGCATCGTACTGTACCAGTTTAACTAATTAAGTGCCCAAAAAGTACAGAATTTAATTCAATAAAAAATTGAATAAGGAGAAAAATTATGGTTGTTTCTTAAAATTTTCTTAAATATATTGTAAAAGTGTGCTCAATAAAGTGCAATGGAGTGCATAATACCTACAGTAAATACTCCACTTTGTCCTTAATCAGTGTTATTGTCATCAGAAGCCTGGAAACATCTTTTTAAAGATATTAAATTATGTAGATTTGATTAAATGTTGCCTCATATCAGTCAAATATTGGCTCTTGATACCAAGTTTTCTTGTGAAGATGCAACTAAGAATTGTCTTCTGTTCCTCAGGACACCTGCATACCAATGTGACGTCTGAAAACTCTGCAGCTGCTCAGCAGCATCATATAGGAGGACGCCATGGAGTTGTAGTGAGGATTCTGGATTGAGGGGCTGCACTGAATCAGCGTGACTAGGAAAGCGCCAACCATTACTGTTGGATGAGAACTGATGGGCTGTCCAAGCTGGCGATAGCATGCCAACTGCAAAGGGTAAAGGTGGCTCAACGTCCCACCGTTACCGACCAGCTTCACAGTACGATGATGCCACACTCGCTCAAAAGAGAGAATATTGGAGAAATAAGAAGCGTGAGCAGAGGGCCCGTCTGTCAGAACGGAGAGGAAAACCAGCACAACCCAGCAGAGGGGAAAAGCTCCCACATCTAAAAGCTCCTGCAGGAGTGCATTCCAGTTTGTCCGGCTCCTTTGCTGCTTTGTCCTCTCCTTTGAAGAGTAATGATGACTCATACAGTTCTGCATCACAGAGTGGAAACGGAGTGGGGGACTGTTCACATGAAGCCACCGAAAACCAAAAGGAAAAGTGGTTCCAGACAATGTCACTCAACAAAGTCTTGCCTCCGTTGCCAGTATCATGTTCCATCTCAGCCAAAGGTGCTGGGCACAACACGGCCACAATTAAATGCCCAACAGTGAAGGCTGCTGTGAGAGCCGTTACCTCACCCACATCTAGTGGAACCCAGCTGAACACCCGTTCCTCAGTGCCTCCTGTCAGAGTGACCAGAATTACCAGTGGCAGCTCCACTAAAGCAACACCTCAGCCATGTGTGTCTATGCAGGGCGCATCAGTCCCCCAAACCCAACATAAGGCACAAGTTGCATTACCCATTCAGCCTAAACTCCTAACCACCGATGTGACCACAGGTATGATTCTTGTGTCTTCTCCATGTGGTCCTGTGTCCATTAAAACAGAGGGCAAAGCAATGAACACAACACCTCAAAGTGGAACAAAGAGTGCCTTGGTCACCCTGCAGAGGGCTAAAGGTGTTGGCAAAGCACAACCTTCCCTTGAGTCTGAGGAGGAGAGAGCGGCCAAGCGCAGAGAACACTGGCGGATCAAAAAGCGGGAGCAGAGAGCTAAGCTGGCAGCTCGTGTAGCTAAAGCCAGAGAGAGGGCACATGGCGTGGAGATGACATTTCAGAGGCTCACAGCACAGAAAACAGGACCTGCAGTCAGCACGGTTCTTCTTCCAACTCAGTCATTTTTGAAAGGAGCAGGCCAGAAGCATGCCAGTAGAGTCAAAACATCATTTACATCTGCTAAAAGAGAAAATTCTAAACTGCAAAGTGGGACAGCAACTGTAGTTCTAACTAACCTGCAAACAGATCAGATAAAAGTAGAAAATACACATGGGAATAAGATAACGCAGACAGCCATCAGATCTGATTTTACTTCTGTAAAAAAGGCAGTGGAATCACAGAGAAAGCTTCCAAGTTACGCACATCTTTCTAATGTCACTCGAGGGATTGCACGATGTAAAACTCCTAGACAAAGGTTCATTGAAGCACAGAAGATTTTAATGAATCAGAGAAACCTAAGATGTAAATCCCCATTGGTAGCTTCAATGTTTGGTACCAGAAGTATGCCCAAAATTGATCCCAATGACACACCTGAGCAGATAGTAGCCAAACGACGCGAGTACTGGCGAATTAAAAAGCGTGAACAGCGAGCTAAGCTGTCAATGGAGGTAAAGGCTCGGTTGAAGGAGAAAGACTCTCTGATGAGAAGAGTGAAACGTTACCAGAAAATTCTTGAGGACATGAGGAAGGCCAGAGCGATGACGCACTTGACAGGAAGCACCCTAACTCACTCCTCTGAGACTATCGGGGGGTTCATCAAAGAGGATGGGACACTGACCGCTAACATCCCCCAAAGTCCTACGGATCACAACACCGCAAAAGACAAAAGTGACAAAGACCTTCATGTAGCTTCTAAGAATACCCTTGTCACACAACCGCGGCATCAACCTGATACTAGGCAGAGAACTAATGCTCCAGTCAGGATAAACCAGCCTCGCCCTCCACTTTGCCCAGCTCAGGTGAAAGTCTCCTTTCCTCTTGCTAGACAGTCAGTCAGCAAACCTTCAAGACTACTGTCAATCAGACCACGCACTCAGCATGAAAGCACAACTGTTCCTAACTCACATAAGTTAGCAATCCAAACTGCAAGCCAGCTCAAGCTTACTCATCCTCAAACCCCTCAAAATGCAATTTCTGGAGGATCAACAACAGGGTCAAACCTCGGTGGCTGTGTCATGAAAATGGCCATCTCAAGTGGTGCACCATCAGCTCTGTCTCTGGATCCAGGGTTGACAGAAGAGGAGAAGATGGCAAAGAAGAGGGAGTACTGGAGGATTAAGAAACGTGAGCAGCGAGCAGCTCGTGCTGTACGACTGAAACAGGGTGTTTTACAAACAAGAGCAAATGCAGTCTTACAAAGGAGGAAAGCTCAGAAACAAGCAGCAGTGACTATTGTGCCACTGAGCAGAAGTCTTACTCGCTGTACAGGAAATGTACAACCTCTCCCCACTAACAGTGCGCCTATTACGCCACATGCAAATGAGATAAAACAGGAGGGGGAGTCTATGCCAGCAGTTGACCTAAATTCTCAACCAGAACAAGCCATCTGTCCAGATATCAAACCCCCAACCTCCCCACCTCCACTTCCAGCGCCTCAGCCAGAGCCCGACCCAGCTCTGAGCGCAGACAGCCAGGCTACCACTCTGCTGGCCGTGGCCTCTATGAAGAAACTCCTAGAGGAGTCACTCAGCACTGTGACGGAGTGTAAAAGTGAACAGACTGACATTAAAATGGAGACGATGGAAGATTCTTCAGAGCCTGACATGAAGCCAAATTTACCTCAGCTCTTTTTTGAGAAAGATGACATGGCTCCTCTTGCTGCTAACCTGACATTGCAAATAAAAAGCTGGCAGCCAGATAGTGACATGTTGGTACAGGCAGATTCACCAAGCCCTCTGCTTGAGAGCTCATCAGAAATTAGTGAGACACCTCCATCTCTTTCTGCTTCCACTGAGGTAGTTCTGCATCCCACCTGTGAGCACTCATCCCAGACCCCTTCAAACTTCATAGTAAAACCATCTGTGGAAAAATCTGATGGCCCATCTTCACCACGCAGAACCCAGAGACTTCGCATCAAAAAAGTGGACCATCAAAACTGCTGCTCCCCAGAGCCACCAAAGCGCCATCATGCCACAGCTACATCCCTGAATCAACTGCAACCACAACAGCAACACTGTGAAAAACGGACACAAGAACAGTGCCAAAACAACAGCTCACCATCAGGACTAAGGCACCGCAGTGTGGTAGCAGAGCAGTGTGGCTTGACCAGCCTGCAGAGGAAGAGGGAGTACTGGAAGCTGATGAAGAGGCAGCAGCGGGCCAGGTTAAAGGCCAGCCAGAAAGAGAGACACGGAGAATGTAGCAGTCGGCTTTCTCAGAGAAACATCCAGGTGACATAATACATGGGAATAATATTCACCACCTACCATCATAAAAGTTTTGATGAGGATTGTTTTACAGTGCAGATTGTGTGAATGTTTACTTAAAAAGTAACTTGTACAGCTAGTTTGACAAATTCTAATGATGTAACATATAGCTGCACATACCACAGTGGTTCATACATCCTATAACAAAATAGTTTACAAAACTCGCTCCACCTCTTATTTCTTAACATGCATCATTGGTCCTGTTTTTATGGCAGTAATGATCCACATACATATTCCATAACAGTAGAAAGTAAAGACTGACAAAAACACTAGACACAAGAGGACCTAGTCAGGACATGTTATGCGGAAAAAGGACACAGAACAAAGCAGTGTGGAAACAAGGCATTAGGCCAGTGTTTTACTTTACATGACTACACAAGGGTTGTCTAGGGTCTACATGACGTAAATCTCATCATCTGCCCAAGTCTGCAAACATCCACATGCAGCCCACAACTGGTGTTGGAGACAATGGCATAAGAGCAATAGTGTACATGCTCTGCAGTTGTGTGTATGCATGGAATACATAGATATGACCTACTGTGCATGTATGGAGTGGAGTTTAGCAAGAAGACTTCCATAAATTAGAAATGTAGTAGAACAACAACTACATATCTGTGGAGTCCAGAGTTGTCCGTATGTGTGTCTGCACTGACGTATGATCAAGGCTTCAGCAGGAAAAGCCTCAAAGTCTGCGTGTGGACATAGGGATTAGGTCCATCTCTGGCCATGATCCGAGTGTGACTTTGAAATGTACACTAAACATTGATCAAACAAGGCGATGTCAAAATTTTCTCAGTCAACCGGCAGCAGCGTTCTCAACCCTACCAAATCAATCAATTTTTCTACCTGGCACAGCCTAAGTTAGCCCGGAACATTGGCAGGAAATCCCACAAACATATTCTTCTGAGATAAAAGAAACCTGATGAATTTTATAAACTTGTGGAAACAGTGGCCAGCTAGAAGACGTTGTCTAATTTTGACCTTTTATGTAAAAAGCCTCCAGGGGGACATGAGTAAACAATTTTTATTCTATTTACCAGCACGCTAATCATCCTCTGAGGTTTTGCACATAGAAATAACTGCTTATCTGGTGCTGACGTAGTCCCACTTAAAACGAAGGGCAAACTCATACAGCAAGTACTTCTTTTTGAAAGATAATTGATCATTTAATAATTATAGAACTGTATCAAATTTAAAAAAACATCTTTTGTATTGTTGCCTTTCAGGCTCCAGGGATTCTTCTTATCAACACTGTCAAGGCAAAACCAGCCCTCCGGCCCAAACCGTCTGTCACTTCTCTGGCTGCAGTGACCAGCATCCCTACAGTCCTGGTTGTTAGCCAAACAACGTGTAATGCTGACCAATCACCGGACACTCTGCAGGTCAAACTGCCCGTTACCAGCAGAGCACAGAACAATGTGAACATTGGACTTTCACCAGTTGTGTCCAACTGTGCAGAAGCTCCTGCATCTCCACAGCTTTCACAAGAGTGGACTTCTAGAGACACAGACACAGATGTGGACTCAGCCCCCTCCCTCCTCACTCTGAAGCCCCCAGATAACCCACTGTCCAGCATCAACCTGCAACCCATTGAACCCCTTGGTCAGAGTCCAAATCCCAAAGTCCAAAGTCCAATAAATTTTCCTGATGCTCAAGTTCAGAGCCCCACACATGTTATTCTATCCTCCACCAAGCTGGCACCTACGAGCACTATGGTTCCTCCAAAGCCAATCCCAGGTGAGTCTGAAGAGGACTTCCTGAGGAGGAAGCGGGAGTACTGGAGGATAAAAAAGAAGGAGCAAAGAGCTAGAAAGGCCATTCGGGACAAGGGAATTGCCCCACGGAAAACCTCCAACAACTGGAGGCCCATCCTGCCTGCCCAGGATCTACAGACACAGGTGAGAGCTACAAAGGTGTATAAAAAAACTAGTTTTATGTCTTACAGGCTCTTTCAAACTACTGTTTTAATATTAAATGAATAAGAGTACAAAAAATGCACTTCTTCGCGTATGCTCATACTGACATCTAGAAGATAAGCATGTGGTGTCTGTTTACCAGTATTAAGTCTTGATATCATGTCGGAAGGTGACAGAAAGTGAGAAAAATAAGGAGCACGGAAATCAAAATCCAAAATTGAACACAAATCAAACTTTAGTTTTATTTTATGTAATTTATGAATAAATTCTGAAAGTAATTTATTACACTTTGGTAGTGTCACAACAAATAAGGTTGCACCGACTGTTGCTTTGTACACAAATCTACTTAAATCTATTTATGTAAATTAAAAGTAATTACAACGATTCTTTTTTGGGGGTGGGGACTCTTTAGGTAATCATGAGGAAAACCATGGAAACAAATTGTCAGGTGCAGGTTTAGGCAGAAAAAAAAAAAGTCTTAACATAAGTAATGAAATGCCAATAATACAGCTATTACTGTCTCTCTGTTAGATCCTCACCCCAGAGTTTAATCCACACATCCCTTTACAAATATGTTACCTCTAAGCTGAGATAACCCTGATAATATCACCAGGGACTTGATAAAAATGCCCAAGATCCACAAAGGTTAAAGTAGAACGAACATACACTCACCGGCCACTTTATTAGGTAGACCTGTCCAACTGCTCGTTAACGCAAATTTCTAATCAGCCAATCACATGGCAGCAACTCAATGCATTTAGGCATGTAGCCATGGTCAAGACGATCTGCTGCAGTTCAAACTGAGCATCAGAATGGGGAAGAAAGGTGATTTAAGTGACTTTGAGTTGTTGGTGCCAGACGGGCTGGTCTGAGTATTTCAGAAACTGCTGATCTACTGGGATTTTCACTCACAGCCATCTCTAGGGTTTACAGAGATTGGTCCGAAAAGGAGAAAATATCCAGTGAGTGGCAGTTCTGTGGGGGCAAATGCCTTGTTGATGCCAGAGGTCAGAGGAGAATGGCCAGACTGGTTCAAGCTGATAGAAAGGCAACAGTAACTCAAATAACCACTCGTTACAACCGAGGTATGCAGAATAGCATCTCTGAACGCACAACACGTCGAACCTTGTGGCGGATGGGCTACAGCAGCAGAGGACCACACCGGGTGTCACTCCTGTCAGCTAAGAACAGGAAACTGAGGCTACAATTCGCACAGGCTCACCAAAATGGGACAATGGAAGATTGGAAAAACGTTGCCTGGTCTGATGAGTCTCGATTTCTGCTGCAACATTCGGATGGTAGGGTCAGAATTTGGCGTCACCAACATGAAAGCATGGATCCATCCTGCCTTGTATCAACAGTTCAGGCTGGTGGTGGTGGTCTAATGATGTGGGGGATATTTTCTTGGCACACTTTGGGCCCCTTAGTACCAACTGAGCATCGTGTCAATGCCACAGCTTACCTGAGTATTGTTGCTGACCATGTCCATCCCTTTATGACCACAGTGTACCCATCTTCTGATGGCTACTTCCAGCAGGATAATGCGCCATGTCATAAAGCGCGAATCATCTCAGACTGGTTTCTTGAACATGACAGTGAGTTCACTGTACTCCAATGGCCTCCACAGTCACCAGATCTCAATCCAATAGAGCACCTTTGGGATGTGGTGGAATGGGAGACTCGCATCATGGATGTGCAGCCGACAAATCTGCAGCAATTGCGTGTTGCTATCATGTCAGTATGGAGCAAAATCTCTGAGGAATGTTTCCAGTACCTTGTTGAATCTATGCCACGAAGGATTAAGGCAGTTCTGAAGGCAAAAGGGGGTCCAACCTGATACTAGCGAGGTACACCTAATAGAGTGGCCGGTGAGTGTAAATTGATTATTGTACGGGTCCACACAGGCACAGATGGGAGAAGTCGGCCCCAGGAGTTGAGTAGCTACTGGACCACAGCCTTTCTTTGAAGAGGCTTGCATTTTTTATTGGACAGTCAATCACAGGCCTACAAAGACAGAATGACCAGGAAGAGAGATAAAACCACTACAAAGATGACTGCAAAGAAAATGACAGCAAAAATACAATAAATAACTGCAAAGAGACATATAACTACAAACAGACCCCAAAAAGCAGCTACTAAGCACTGCAAAATCACAGCAAAGACATGCAAAATGACCACAAAGAGACACATAACAATTACAATGAGATGACTACAAGCACATACAAAATGGTAACAGAATAATGCAAAATGACCAAAACCACCATAAAGATGACTACAAAGAATTGCAAAATGACATTAAGAACAGACAGGAGTAGTACAAAGAGACATGTAACAACTAAAAGATGCAAAATCCAAACAGATACAACTACAAAATGATACAATAAGGAACTAAGAGATTCAAAATCACAACAAAGATATACAAATTGATCATAAGGAGGTGAATTGCAACGCCACAAACCCACATCAAAGATAACTAGAATAAGATGCAAAATAGCTATAAAGAGCCCCAGATTTTGTACAAATGACTATTCATCTAATGCCATTTAACAAATTAGGTGAACGAGTAAATGATGCCAATATTAAATAAGGGGATATATATATATATATATATTCTGTGTAGTTTGCTTAGTACAACCTTTAATTTTTTGTTTTTCAAACTCTTGTCTTTTTTCTCTCTCTTATTCTTTTAGGATTCTGCTCAGTGGGTGAACACCTCTGAGGAGTCAGAGCATCAAATGAGGTGGGAAGTTTGTTTTGCTTTTATTTAGAATTATTTCTGCAAGCTCCTTGAAAGATAATAATAGAATCTCTCTTTGACAGCGCATCAGTGGACACCGACCCGGCATCTTTTATATACCCCAGTTACACAACACCGATAGAAGGTAAAGCATGAGCTATAGAACTTTGCACCTTAATGTATACACACTGAAATGGCAAAAATATCACAAAACGTACGCTTTTTTTCCCCCTTTTTGAACTCTTTTCAGATGAGTCAGAGCTTCTTTTTGAGGACTATGAGATTAATAATGGTGAGGAAAGTCCAGTCTCAGATGCTTTGTGGAGGAACCGCTACCTCATGGACTATGACCCGCTCAACCAGCTGCTGGTGTGCATGGTGTGTGGGGAGCTGCAGTACTCCCACAGCCTGGAGGGAGTGAGGGCCCACATCGACGAGGCCCACCCACACACCCTGAACCTAGAACCTGGGGAGAAACAGGGAATACTGGAGGCTTGGGACGAGCAGGTGTCCCAGAGGGAACGTTTCTTCACTAGCCAGTTGCAGCAGCACAGCGGGGCTCTGGCAGGTAAAATGTGATTTCAGAGGGAAGACACGTAGAGAGGATGGGCCAGGTGTTTGTCAAGAGGTTAAAAGAACGCTGATATGAATGTTAAATATTACAACACTTTTGCTTGCTGTGTAGCATCAGCCCAGAGGGAAATTCCCCACCAATTACTAGCTGCACTAACTGTACCATTTTAAAAAATAATGAAGTGAGAATAAATTTTAAAAGGAGAAATAATTGTTTATTTAATTTTATTTAATTTTATTTATTTATTTTTTAAACAAAATAAAATTCAGAAGCAGTTTTGTTGCTTCAGCCTTGCTTGGTCTATTTTGACTACTAGTAAATGATAGCTAATGTTAGCAAATCTTAAAGAGCCCATAGTATTCGCATTTACAGGTTAATCATTAATTTTTAGGGGCACATAGAATATATTTACTGCATGCTGTCATACCTATGGATAGGTATACACTTTTTCTCTTTGACTTTTCCCCTATAATTTTATTGCAAAATGAAATGTCCACAAAAGTAACTCCAATGAAAATGGAGACTCAGGGTAGCAAAACCTACCAATAATACATGAATTTTGGGTTTTGACAAAGTGTTAACAAGAGTTGAATTTCAGGTTTGGTAATTCCAGCTGTTTGTAGGAGTCTTTCCTCTGAGTTTATTAAATACGTGCAGCATCAGACAGCAGCAGGATTCATTTGGGCATCTCCAAAGAGAGATAGATGTGCACATTGCTGCATGTGGAACAACAGCAGGAACAACATTACTCATAAACTATCCCCGACTTTGAGACAGGATCAATCAGGATCTAACTACAAGTCACACTTATCTTCACACTGGACACACAAGCTGTCACACAGAGAGTCACAGCTTATAAGCTTTAGTTAAACACTTTGTAAAACAGTGGAGTCCTGAGCACCATCACTGCTGACAGGATATTTTTATTACACTGTTCAAAAAGTAGTAGTTAGGTTGTCATCACACCAAATTTTCAGTGTTTAACCGCTAAACTTTCTACCTCTCCCTCGGAATGATTTTGTTTTCTTCCTAACCCTTTTAATGATCTCATAACTCTCAACCTGGGAACCCATCTTTATAAACTTCCCTTAAACAGGCTGTTTGTTAGGCTGTATTGCAGAATCATTAGTATGTTGTTTGTCTATCTAAGACTCATTTGGCAAACCTGTCTGACTTCTTTCACAGAAGCACACAGAGACTGAACAGCAGAGGCGATGACAGATGGAATCAACTGAATACCATGGGCCAGGACAGAAAACCCACACTTTATTTGTCTTATTTATTTATTGGTCTTTATCAGTTTGTTTACCTTCACAAAAGGTCACCTTGAAAGAGAATGCTGTACTGGGAAAATTCCGCCTAAAAGCAGCTTTACCTCATTTCCTACCAGGGCTATAATGGGGATTCATGAAAGGCAGTTTGGCTTTTTTTTTATACTGAAGCTTTTTCAACTGAGATTTTGGGACAATATTTGAAATATTTAGAGGAGAAGCCCAAGACTCTGGGAAGTACAGTCTTTGTGCTTCACTCGGTGAAATGCATCCAAAGGCCAAATCATGGTTTTCACACGACTAATATCGAGTTTGAAAGCAGATAGACATGGACATGCTTGCATTCATACTACGCTAGGTACACATCAATCTGCTGAGTAGACAGCCACACTGTCCTCATATCAAACACAGAAATGTACATGGGGCTCCGTGGATGTTTCTGAGAAGCTCACAAATTTTAGGCTGCATGTTGACTCCCACAGAGGCATGCAGGTGGATTCTTGCAGACATGCAGTTACTGAAAGCATGAACTGGCCTTAACAGACACATAGGTAACTTGTGTTCATTGAAATTCCTTTATTTTAAAATTTTACTTCCTAAAATTTGTCCGAACCTCAGCAACAATAGGCACCCAATATTTTCTGCAGAATTTAATCTAAGAAAGGCTCTGAAACAGCATTTTGACCATTAGACAATAAAGCTCTTATACAGACTCCAACTTTTGCAGAAGAGCAGCCACTGTGACCATAATTGACAACTACATGGAAACTGCAATTTTCTTTCATTTTCTAACATTGTCTGGTGTCACTGGCTTTAATTTAGTGACACCATTGAGAGCGAGTAGAATGGAACCATAAGCAGGAGGTCCTGGCGAGGGTTACGTCTCATTTTCCTTTGTGATAAAAGCATTGAAACACTTATTTGGGACCTGTGCATCTAAAACAGTGATGTGGTCACATATTGTGTACGACAGAAAATCTGGGAGAACAAAAGCTTTGGATTTTTAGGTTTCACGGTTTAAAGGTATTTTGAAATTTGTACTTGATTGAGCATAATTTGTATTTGATTTTTTTTTTTAAATCTACAGATCTCTTCTATACAGAACTGTCCAGGGTCAGGCGGTCAAAGATATGTATATGAAAATACGTGATAACTGTTTGTGAAGCCATTAGCACTAAAAGCATGGTTTACTATTGATCTATCTGTTCTGTCACAAACAGTACTGCTCTGATCCACTGCTCTTGCTAGCAAGTGCAGATAATGTACTGACAAATGTAGATTAGAAATGTTCATTTTAGGCATTGTTATCACCCAATACAAATATTTTTATCAATCTGGGAGGACAGTAGACACATGTGAGGCCATAAAACCTGCTGCTGGATAATAGGTAAAGTTTGAAAACTATGTAACTGAATTACAGCAGGCAAGTTAAAACACAGTGTAAGAGCTGCACAAGAAGAGAAAATGTATCAAATCAGTGATAAGTGACTGAGTGTGTCAAGTCTGTGACAATTATCAAAATGTAGCCACCACATGCTACTGGGCAAATCAAACCAAGATAGACCTCGTTCGTCAGTCTTGTATTTCCTTACGTCACAGAGCTGAACGTCCAATTCTCAAAAAAAGAAACAACTAGGTAACCTGTTACAAACCAACATTTACCCTGGTTCAAAATCTAGTTTCAGAATGCTCAAAGACTCTTTGAACCACTCAGATAAAAAAAAACAATCCCATCTGCTGCGTGGAAAACACAAAAAAGATTTCTCAGGTAGTAAAACTTGTTCATTTTGGGGGGCAATATTTGAGGGCACTGCTGCCAGCGCTGGGCTGTGAATCCCACTATTACACAAGTGGGAAGCATTTAGTATGAGTGTTTAAGCCGATGATGATGGTGATTTTACCAAATGACTGAAAACAAAGATGGAATAAAAATGGTGGAATTCATAGCCTACCGCTGGCAGTGCTGACAGTATGGATTTGGTCTGAGACAAGTCAAAAAAATTCTGCTGTGTACACAACTGAGCAAGACTGTTTTATTTCTGCTAAATTATAGTTTGTATTAGAAAGAGGAGGACTGGGTTATTTCTTCTTTCTAATGTTACATAGTCTGTCCAAGACAAATAAACAGCCATTTGCTGGTTTCGCACCTTCTGCATAAGCAAACTGGGAAACAGGGGCTATAATGCTTCCTCATGGACAATGAATATACAGTACATCAACCACTGCTAAGGAATTTAACAATATTTACTGAGTTATACAGTACATTCAGATGTACCCCCCCCCCCCATACCCTATCAGCCAAATTTATACCCCTATATCAGCCAGCTAGACAGACACAGCACAAGAATCCAACACTTTCTGCTATTTTGTGGCGATAGTTGCTATCAGTGCGGTATGAGGTTTTTCCTGCACTTCTTGCAGGTTTGCATTCAGGTCTGAGACTGTTCTAGACCCTTGTTAGTTACTGGATTCATTGCATGGGTATCTGGAACTGTTCCAAACATTTTTGTATGTGCTATACTGCACCACACTGTTCTTCAAGCCCTGAACCTTACATACAGTATATTCGTCTATGACAACTTTTTGTACTGAGACAACTTTTTTACGGATTTTTCTCACCTCTGTTAAAATCTTCTGCAGATCATATCAGCTTGGCCGTGTGATGTAAAATCTTCAGCACTGTAAATACACAAAATACTAAAGTGGTTATTACATGCCAAATTTTACTTTTACTGTGCAGTTGCACAATTCTTTGGAGCAGCTTTATTTATTATTTATTGAATCTCCTCTTATATACCTGATTATTGATGATGCATTATTCATGTCTGTCGATAGTTCCATGTTAGAAGTATCTCATTTGTGAGTATTGAGGATCCAAAGGCTTTCGTGCATGAGTAGTAAATGGATGAACTGTTGTATATCAGACATACAGAGCTCTAGAATTCACTTCCATGTTTTTGTATAATTTTCATTAAGAGTAAAATGCTGAAAAAAATCTTCTGATTGAGCAAGAAGTTGTGGGGCTGAAAACCTTGCACAGCTGCAAAACAAGTGAAAGAGCTGGAAGTAAATAAGTTTATTCATCTTCCACGAATGTAACTCTGACTTGATGACTTGTTTACCAGTTTAAAGGGAATGTTTAAATACCTTTTCAGTAATAAACCTTTTCTACCGCGATTGAAAGCTTTTGTGCACATTCATTATCTAATTTCAACCTCAGATCAAGTCTTGAGTGAAATTTATGTAGTTGATTGATGTATATATTTGTTTAATTTTGTTTTCTTAAATATATACACACACAAATGGGTTCTGTAGGCCTGGGGTCTCCCTGTGTCTGCGTGGGTTCTCACTGGGCACTCTGACTTCCTCTGACAGTCCAAAGACATGCTTAGGTTAATTGGTGATTCTAAATTCTTTGTAGGTGTGAATGTGAGTGTGCTTGGCTTTCTTTCTCTCTGTGTTGGTCCAGTGATAGACTGGTGACCTGTCCAGAGTATACCCTGCCTTCGCCCTCAGTCAGGTGGGATAGGACTTAGTTGTGGCTGATCAGTTGATTAAAAAATACAGTAGGGTCCAAAAGTCAGAGACCACATCACAATGTGTCATATTTTCATGTAAACCTGGAAATAATCAAAGGATTTACTAACATGTAAACACAACAGCTTTGACGTAAAATTAAAAAGGCATTATTTCTAATTTAACAGTCAAACTAAACCAGATTAGTGGCAGTGACCATGTTAACACCAAAATTTAGATTTCTTTGAGTTCCATTAAAGCAGCATTCAGACACAGAATTTGATGCCTTGGATTTGATTGCTCTCTAAGTAGCATTGTGAGCGTGGGATACATAGCATCAGAAGTCTGATTGCTATTCTGAGCAAAGAGGGAATTTCTCAGCATTACATCATGGCTGGACTGACGGTTTCAGGTAGTGGATACTGGATAGATTTCTGAATGGATTAGTTGTATCTAAAGCAGAATCAAGCAGACCAAAAGTGAGCACAAGATCAGAAGATTAATAGCTCAAGCTTTGTTTACAGAGAGTTAGAAAAGCAGCTTCATCACTGATGCAGAATTTTCTGAACAACACCAGATTCAGTGTGACGCTATACTGGGACAACACAGCCTATTAGGTTTGCCCAAACTGGTGGAGTCCATGGATTTATAATGATGCTGTCATTACAGCATAAGGGGGCAGACCAATTATCAAATGAAATAGTCTCAAATTCATTGACATTTTTCACAGATTCAACTTTTCAGGCAAATACTTAAGTTGATAATATAACTTGCAGGGAAACATTTTATATTGAATCCAACACAAATACAAATTGTAAATATCGTCACAAGTGATCTCAGACTTTTAGACCTCACTGTACAGTATATGAGGATTAAGCGGTGTATAGATAATGGATGGATGGATGGATGTACAGTATATGTATTGTGAACATGGGGATTTTCAAGGCCCCTGTGCCACTGCCTGGTTGGTAATCAAGTTATGGTCCATCCTACTGAGTAGGAGAAGCAGCAGAGGTGACAGGAAAGAATTTTTGTTTTGTTCAGTACACAATTAGTAACATAGATATTAGACAAAGCTTACCGTGCACTAGACATGACCTATGTAGACGCACATAAATGGGTGACAAATGCAGCTTTTCTAACTCAACATATCATTTAGCAGTACCACCTGTCAGCCTGAATGCTTTTAAAAATGCCTGATATAAGTCGTTTGTAACCAGCTCCAGTATTTTTCTATTTGTTTTATGGAACTCATTTTAGGGGCCTGTGAGGTAGAATTATGAGTGGAATCAAAAGAAAAAAAACAAAGAATAGCGTACAGAAAACTCCATGACATTGTGATTAGAATATATTTAAAACACGAAAATAGGGACACTTCATTTTGTTTTTGCTTTATTTATCCAAGCACTGAGCCTTTCCAACATTTCCTCCTCAGGTTCTGTTGTGTTTGTTGTTAAAATTAGTTCATATTTCATGCTCGTTCAAGCTGGCCCAGCATGGACACTACTTCTCCTTCTAGGAGTTTTAACCACAGTCTGAGTGCTGTTCACTGCTTCATCCCTTGGCTTCTCCTAGGCTGCTTGTCCACTATAACCTCAGCTTCTTCTCCAGGCTGTGGTTCTTGTCCCTGGGTCTCATCGTGAGACTGGTTGCTGTGGTTTGACTCAGTGTCAGCCACACCTTGCAGCAACTGTGATCCGACGTCCAGGCGAAACAGAGTGGGGACCTCACCCAGGATGGGGTTGTTCTCCTGGATGCCAGAAATCCATTGATTGAGGGTGGCCTGATCTCCCTTACTGGTCATACACATGGCAAAGACTGGACCATCTTCCACTGGATAGATGCATAGACACAGAACATCTGCATTAGACACTGGCAATGAAAGAACTGTATTAAACAGGGGTGCTACAATAAAGGTTGTAAATATCTTACAGTCTTCAACATCAAAGGTTTCTTCCTCCGAAAGGTCACGGTCCAAATCAAGGTCTAGCTGCAGAGGAAAGTCCAGGCACCTCTCGGGATCATAGGGCTCCTCTTTCTATGAGCAGACACACAGATACAGTTCAGTGGGTACCAAGTACAAATCTAGAATACAGAGTTGTGCTGTGTGGATAAAGTTAGAAAAATAAAGTCTTGCTGCTCACGCTAATCATTCAGTTCTTGATTTGTTTAGAAAGGTTCCTAGTCAGGTTCCTGCAGCAATTCCTGCTGCAAACTATTATATTAAAAGGGAAAGAAACTTGAATGCTTCCTTTGCTTTTTCATTGATCATCAGAGAACCACAGCATCATTTTAGAGATGGAAAGACAATTTCTGTATGTCTCACAATATCAACTAACAGTTCTAGATCATTCCTGTCAACTTATGTGGCTATACAGACAACTGTAGCTTTTAAATGCAGTCAGCTTCAGCAAACTTCTGGACAAACAAGCTAAAGGGTACAGTAAATTCCATGTTTTGGACGGGAACCTGTGGTGTAGATCATACCCCCCATACCCTCTCCTTTTGTTTTCTGTTTAGCTATTTGCTACTGGCAAAAATTTCAGTCACTGAAATGAACAACATAGCAACAAACCATTTACATACACTACTCACAATAAGGTAGGGATATTGTGAGAGACTCAGTGGATTTCATACATACAGTCTTTGTTTCACTTCAGAGATTTCTGGGACAGGGAGGCTATTGTATTGGGGTGATAGACACACCTCAGTTTGTGTTTTCCATGTAATGGTCTCACTGTGTACAGTGTGCCTTACATATTGGGGCCAATACCAAAAAACTAAAAGACAACCCTTTTCAATGTGGCACCAGTTTCAACATTCTGTGGGTATAACAAGCTGGTATTGTCAGCAAGTCATTTCAAGTTCATCGTTCAATAAGTCATGAACACACGACGTCACTTAACGGACGAGCAGCGCCACCTGGCCATAGCACGCCTTCGAGTTGGTGGCAGGCAGTCTGATGTTGCTCGTGAACTTGGTGTGCCTCAAAGTGTCATCAGCAGACTTGCATCAAGACACAGAACTACTGGTTCAGTTCGTGACAGACCCAGGAGTGTGGCCCCAAGAGTGACCGACTACAACGGTGACCAGTACCTCAGGACCGATGAACTCAGACATCGCTATGCAAGTGCCACAGAGCTGCAGGCCTGTTTACGAGATGTGAGGGGTACTAGGGTTTCCAGACAAACCATTCGCAACCGACTCCACTGCTTTGGCTTGAATGCCAGACGACCGTTGCAGGTGACTCCACTGACAACAAGACACTGCCATGAACGTTTGCAGTGGGCACAAGACCATGTGACCTGGACAATGCAGCAGTGGTCCACCGTCCTGTTCACTGATGAGTGTTGAGTCACCTTGCACAGAAATGATGGTCGTCAGCGTTGCTGGAGAAGGCGAGGTGAGTGATATGCGGAGGTTAACATGGTCCCCGGGGTTCACTTTGGTGGAGGAGGTGCAACAGTCTGGGCAGGCATCACCAGCCAGCGCAAAACAGATTCGGTTTTTAGTTTTAAGAATTTCTTTGTAATGGGACAATGATATGAAGTTGTTAGCTGTACTTTGACATGTTTCGGCGTTCCATCTGTCGCCTTTTTCAGAAGTGTCATCTGACCTGTGTGACGTGTCTTTGTCAGCTGTTTTTCCTAGCTAATAAAGACACACACGTCAGATGACACTTCTGAAGAAGGCGACAGATGGAACGCCAAAACATGTCAAGGTACAGCTAACAACTTCACACCATTGTCCTATTACTAAGAAATTCTTAAAACTACTTGTACTTTGAGGACAAAATGAACGTCTTTGCAAGATTTGGTTTTTGTAGATGGCTCAGTCCCTGCACGTTCCTACCTCAGAGACATCATAGAACCCATCATCATCCCCCAATTCCGCCAGCACACCCCCAACTTTCTGTTCATGGATGACAATGCTCCACCACATCGCGCCAGAATTGTCACAACTCGACTTCAGGAAGTCGGAGTGCCTCATATGATATGGCCAGCAATGTCCCCTGACCTGAACCCCATAGAGCATGTCTGGGACCAGCTGAAGCAGAGACTGGATGACCGTACTCCACCCCCACGTGACTTGGCAGAACTGCGTGTAGCACTTGTGGAAGAGTGGAACGCATTGCCTCAGAACAACATCATGAGGCCAGTGAGGAGCATGAGACGTCATTGTCAAGCTGTCATTGCGGAAAATGGTGGAAACATCCGCTACTGACATTGTCAATTTTTGTTATTTGGGGCTATCCTTGTTATTGTTTAAATTTTGGGGGTAATAAATATGAAACTAATGAAAATGGTGTTTCTTCTCATTCATTGTTAGTAATATCAAAGGGAACTTTTACTTATTTCATTAAAATTCAGACCAAATAGGAAAAGCACTCATGTAAATAACAATATCCCTAACTTATTGTGAGTAGTGTATGTTTCCCTAATTGGCAGGTTCAGTTCAGATATTTTGGCCTAGCCCAGTTAGACATGTTTGTGTTCCGTGCCGTTATTCATTGAACCAACCACAACCTTTTTACCTCATGAGTGTGTCTGTGCGTGTGAATGTATGTCATCATGAAATAACCACATAGGGGAGTTTTGAGACCTTTGGCAAGTGTTTATATGTCTGTCTGTGGACTGACCTATTTTGTCAATGTCATAGCATCGCAACTGTGCAAGACAGAGTCACAAAACTTCAAAGGGGTGTAGTTGACATCAAAGTGAAGTTCAAAGATGTGTGTGGTCCATCCTATAAGCACTAAATAAGTAATACTGTACTGGTGACTACTTTCTACTCATGGTTGGAACGTCAACATGTTGACGACGGGCATCACGGCTGGTGTGATTCCATTTCAAGATAGCCACTAGGTAAAAACTGAATGTTTTCCTACCTTTTCTTCTGGTGGCGTAGGGTCAGCTCTGAGGATGTAGTAGTGCACACATGTCTTCCTCAGCCATAGAGGAAAGGGGCCCTCCACAAACACCGGCTTGTTAGGGTTATGTTTGGCCAGCATCTCCATCTGGTTGGGACTCTGGATACCTGGCGCCAACAAAGGGAGGATAGACAGTGAGCGATGATCCCACTGTTGCACTAAAAATGTAAATGTTACTTTTTACGGTGAAATGAATTTTTCTTTTTAGTCAGAATTAAAATCATTGAGTCAATTATGAAGTATGTGCCAATGAAGACAATATTTGGTATATCTCTGTCATCAACATTTTACTCACTCTCAATATAACCCATGACTTAAAACAATTAATAGAGCTTGAGTTCTGGGATTCCCAGCTGTACCTTTATGTAACACATCAAACTTGTGCTTACATACCTACTATATGTGGAAGTGTGATCTCTTCTCCACTCTCTGTGACATCTGTACAAGGGAGCTAGCAGGAAGAGACATGGATGTTACTTTGGCAAAAAATTAATTTTTATCCCAATGACAAGTGAAAACCAGAACTGATGAGATCTGTTCCACAGGTAGAGAAAACCTTAATAATGTCTCCAATAAAATTTGTCTTCATTTGAACTCACAGATAAAAAAACCAGCCTTGAAACATAACCTGACTTATTATGTGTGTGGTTCACACCACTCCTCCAGATATCTATTCAAAAAAGTAAGTGGCCCTTGTTAGCTTCCTGTTAAAACCCCTGCAAGACCTGATAACTGTAATTTTTAGCTAAGCTGCAGGTGACAGAAAAGTTGAAAACTCCAGAAAAAAAAGCTAATAAGTTAAGTTTGTGAGGTGATAACTGAAGCAAAATTGAGCACACCTTTGATTTTCAATTTGCCAAACTGCATGAACATGGAAATGACCTGTGAAAACCAGAATTTTCCCAGTTTTGGACCTATCGGCTGTGTCTGCTTCATGTCTCCAAGTGGAAAAGAATTGCCAGAGGAACTAAAAAAAATCTGACTGAGACTTCACAAAGATTTAAAAAAAAAAAGAAAAAAAAAAAGATGCAAGATCTGTGACAAAACTAAAGACCAGATGAAACAAAGCTGCAACAGAAATCAGGAGGTAGAGAACAAGGCATAGTACCACTAATCATGGCCGCTATAGCCGTCTTACTAAATGAAGACATAAACAGTGCACCTCTTAAAAAAACAGATAGACGAGTGCTTTAGACTTGGCATGGGTTATTAAAGGAAATCCAAGTTTCTGCAATCGCTCAGACAGTGTGAAGGACAGTGCTTAATGTCAGCTTCTACAGACAGCATCCTAGAAAAAACATCCTTTGTTTGCTCTTTAGCATGAAACCTTAAAATTAAACTTTGCTAAAGGGCATGAAAAGAAGTCTGATGAATGCTGGGAGCCCATTCTTTGGTCAGATGAAACCAAGATAAATTTGTTTGGCTCAAATGGGGACCAACATGTTGGACATGAACCTCACCAGGACACACACATGAATGCATAGTGCCATCAGTGAAGCATGAAGGTGGAAGTCTGATAAGTCTGTATGTTGTCTGACTTCAGTCCAACAGAACGCTTCTGAGGTATTTTAAAGAAAAAGAGAGCAACACAACCCCTCCACTAAAGGACAGCCAAAAAATACATCCATCCATTCATCATTTATACA